CACCTTATTTGGACTTGTTATACGGAATGTGTGAATTATAATCACTTTGATTCGGATTTAACGTGTATACGTGTATAGTTACTAGACTGCGGATCTTTATGCATTTATTTGAATGTACAAGGACCTACAAAATGCAAACAATATACAAGAATATAAAAAAGATTGAAAGTAAAGTTCACGTAATAATTTTTGCAGAATAAAATAAATTCCTATTCAGGTTCAATTTTTGTAGGCGGTGACTCTGTTTCAGCGACACACGCGTCGTATGTAACGCAATAACAAAGTAAATGCTTCGAATATCTTATTAAAATTATACGTTGATAAACGGTTAGATGAAAACCTAAACGAATAAATCGAGACACATCGATCGCTAAATCAATGGATAACTAGAAGAATAAATAAATGAATAATAAACATTAGGTGTAGAAATGAAGTTCTTTTCCAAGGTGAACTTACCATTTACTTGACATTCCGTGTTGCAGAGAACGCGAAGAAGGAAGGTCCGCGTGCGAGTGAGGCCAGCCGTGGACGATTTCGTCACAGCGGAGTCGCAGCACTTCAACTCGGCCGTGAACAGTTTGATTCGTGACCAATACCGCTACAACCCTCTCAGGGAATCGAAAGTCACCACCACGGATCCAAGTTTGACGGAGAAGTTCGCCGTGCAGGACTTCCTGACCGAGATCCTCAAGGAGGACAGATCCTCAGCGAGGTCTACGACCACGGAAGCACCGGAAGTCGCGTGGACGATGTCTCCGGCGATGACCACGCCGATGGTCATCCCGGACGACGTCGAGGAGACGACCATGACCGAGATCCGAACCACCACGATGCCTCAGGAGACCACGACCGCCAAGTCCGACGAGGACATCGTCACGCAGATGACGTCCGAGCCTCGTGAGGACGCGGAAGAGGACAAGAAGCCGTGGGAAGCGGAGAAGATCGGCAAGGAGAAGAAGAAGACACCCGACAAGAGCCACTGGGAGAAGAGTGTTCAAGATGCGTTGGAGTTGGGATTGTTAACCGAAAAGTTCTCGTCCAAGGGCAACGACGTCGAAGACTCCGCCAAGCTGGATAACAACAGGGCGACTGAGAGCGACGAGAATTTCACGGCTACTAGAACAAAGTTAAAGGCGATCGACGACCCAAACGAAAGCTTCTCGGAGTCCCTCGAAGAGGATCAGGAACCCAGGGACGGAGACGATTACGCCTACCCGAAGAATCACAGGGCAAAGTGGAGCGAAGTGAGGCACCCTTCCTCCTACGATCGGTCCCAGGCGTCCGGCAGGCAACGCGACCTGAAATCTAACGCGAAATCCTCTATTCCTGGCCTGGTCGCCAAGAACGAGGGAGACTCCAGCGTGAAGACCCTGTCCGACTACGTGAAGGCCATCTTCGATAGCATGAAGAGCGCCGAGGAGGAAACCACTGTGTCGGATACGGAGAGGCCAGAGGTCGCGACGACCACGCAGACGCCCACGGAGTTCAATCTCTTTGAAGAAATCACTCAAGAAAGGGTAACGACCAAGGATCCCGAGATCCAGGATACCACGGAAGCGATCCTCGCGACAGAAGACGCGAAGGACGAGACTCGGACGACAGAGTCGACGACGAACGTCGAGCAAGAAAACGCGACGACCTTGGATCGCGTCGCTACGACTCCGGAAAGTACCACGAGTTCGTCCTCCGAGGGCTTGGTCACCGATCCACCCTCCGCGACGACACCGAAGACCGTCACCACCACCCTGGCGAGCAACGCGACGGAATCGATCCTCGGGAAGGTTCTGCGAACCTCGACGACCACGAGGGTGTCCCACATGACCGAGATCTGCTACAGAGGTCGATGCGTGATGACCAGGCCCAGCCAGGACGAAAGGTTCAGATGAAGGGGACGGGGAGGAGCTACCTTGAAATCATCGTTCCCTTTTACCTAACGCTACGAGAGCCGAAAGAACGGATCTGCTCGCGGAGGCCTCGTTAATCGCCATCCACGTGCTACTTACGGTATCGTCTCCAAATAAGCAACTCGCTGTCTCCACTGTTTTGTTTCAAGTCGTCCGCCGAGCGAGAGATCCGACAAGAATTCGATTTTGCTAGTGCTGCAATGAGAAAGCACGTTATGTCCTATCATTCTCCAAACGATTACACCAACCATGCTCGAGCGATCACTTTCAAGCGATCACTAAACAGCTCGCAGGTCCCGACCGAACTGCTTATCCCAAGACGATACTGTATTCACTTATTTATTTACCAGAATCCGGTTTCTTCGCGCTACGAGTTTCTTTCCTTGGACTGTCTGTATATACATGTACACGTTATAATTATAAACACACAATCCCAACGCGGAAGCGCGATCCGAGTGGAAGGGACGAGTGTTTCTTTCGGTTCACCAAATGTAGAATTTTATTAATGTTCGCCGATTCACCGTTGACCCTTTTACCGACGGCTGTTTCTTCACCCGAGTCCCGCGATTCCAGCGATGGAATCCGTTTTTTCGCGAAGGGTTGAGTGCGATCGAGGGCGAAGATGGACGGACGGGAGCACGGAGGCCCGAGAAACAACGAAACGCGAGAGCATATTTTTAGGGCTGGGAGTGTTTTCAAGCGTTTGAGGATTGTTTAGATTGTACACGAGTTTTCGATCAGTTCGATCGGTATGTATTCGTACCCTCTATATTTATTGAAAAAATATCTGATTTCGACGAATGCTTCGTGTTTCCAAGGTAATTTCTAATTGTGAATACAGTCAGTCCCATAAATATTCGTACCCTCGATGTTCATCGAAGAAATTTGTTTAAATTAAATGGTAACGTTCGATGTTACCAAATAAGTTTTTCTTTATATATACACGTGTAAAGTTTATCTATGTATATATTTATAACGAAATATTTATTTGAAAACATCCGACCTATTATTTAATTTAAACGAACTTCTTTAATAGACAGAGGGTACGAATACTTATGGGACTGACCGTATATTCCCGTAAGGCCACGAAAGGTCCATAAAAATGTTAAAAATAATGTACTCCGATCCGATAAAGAAAGTCGAGCACCGTGTGGCTCGGAATCGATCGTCGCGACGCTTGTTCGCAAAAAGGGGGCCAAACGTTTCTGGTGTCACCCACTCGACTGGCTCGCAGCCGGAAACGGAGGACCAGCTCGCGTTCGCTTTAAGGTCGAAACGATAGAGGCCTAAGTCTAATTAACGGAAATCACCTACTCGCCCGCTGTTGGTATACGTGTAAGTTAAGCGTTTAAGTATTTTAATAAAAACGTAAGAAAGCCAACGGCCTCGTTTTCGCGCGATCCTCCGCGGAGTCCTTTGACCCTCGGGACAGGTGGACTTATTCCGCGAACGTCCCGCGCTTATCGACAATCGTTAAGGGACGAAGCGACCGTTGAATTATTTATGCGCCACCCGACACTCGATTATTCTCAGCTGACGCACCGACGCGATGTGACAGAGCCTCGCGTAACGTTCGGAAATCGGTACCTCCGGTTGTCGATATGCGAAGGTAGGAAATGTTTCGTCGAGGAGCGGTCGATCTGTTTACGTTTCACAACTGACGTTCACTCGAGTCGAGGCGTCGCGTCGGTTGTTCGAGCTGAAGAAACAAAAGCTGAGGTAAGGATGTCTCCTGAATTCGGTATTAATTATTTTTTGCTCACCGAAAACGCAGGCGTTCGTCAACGTCGGGCGTATCAAATAAAAAAAATCTGTTTGCCCGATACGATTCAATTACGTTATTCGATCAATCGTCGCGCGAACTCGATTCGCTGCCGAAATTCCAACGGGTCTGTTTATCGATGCGCGAACGACTCCGCGAAAGCCGTCACGTTCGACGAAGGGAATTATCAAAGCGTGCCGGAAGTCGCGTTACGATCATTTTCCAATAGCAACGGTTGCCCGTCCCGTCGTGGACAGGTTGCATTCAATCGGTGGACGCGCATCGATTCCCCTCGATATCTGTGCCAGGAGAACGACACCCGCCTACCGTTTCTGATGGACACTTCGCTTCCGGAAATAGGAAATAATCGGCTCGACGGTGTCTCGGAATAGGCTAACGACGGTTGAATTTGGAGCGTGCCCTTGACACCCTCCAGAGAGTCAATTTTCCGACGTCGAGGGCCCTCCACGCTTTCCCCTTGCTCGCCCACAACTGCACCGAAAGTATCGTTCGTAAATACATTTTTATTCGTACGAAATTCAGTCGTCAGCCACGAATAAATTGCCGATGTCGCAACTTTAATTACTCTCCGGGCTTTCCCCTCGTTCACCCAGAATTTCACCGAAAGGTTCTAGATACGTTTCTTAAATACAGCGAATACATTTTTATTCGTAAGAAGTTCAGTCGTCAGCCACGAATAAATAGTCGACGTTCCGACCTTAAGAATTCTCCACGCTTTTCTCTCGTTTTTATTCGCGAGAAGTTCAGTCGCCATCGTCGAATAAATCGTTCGCCTCTGGCGATCCATGTTCGTTCCAGAGAAATACATTTTTATTCGCGTCTAATGAATGAATTTATCGCGAATAAAACGTGGAGAACGGCGAGGGACGAGGAGGAGCGAGAAAGGTGGCTCGTAGCGTAGCGTAGCCGAGCGGAAAATGGCGTTGCACGCGATCAATCGCGACGGTCTCAAGTTCGCCACAGATGGCGTGGCTGTGCGAGACCATCCGCTATTTCCGCTTTCGATAGGTTAAGTCCTCGAGTCCAAAGGTTAAGTCTGGAATGATTCACATGATTCCGTTGCGATCGATCCCCTCGAAGCATCGCACGATCGCGAGAGATCGAGGAAGGGGACGAGAGGACAACGTCGAAGATCGCTGCGAAGTAAATTCGGACGAATCGGTGAACCCTCTAAAAATTGATTCCGTGGCATCGTGCGCGGCGACGGTTGCGCCGCCGCGTGGTCAGCGCCGCGGTGGCCCGCAGCTTCGTAAGGGTTGGAGGGAGGGTTGGAGGGAGAGAGCTGCGCGAGCAACGAGGGGTTGCATAGAGGGAGCGAGTTCAGTTCAGGTGCAAAGATCCTCGATTGAGGACGCGACAGTCCTGATAATCGGGACACTATGACAGGCGGCGAGGGGTCCCCGGTCAATCTCCTCAACCACTGTAACATGAACACCTCCGGGGAGTACGCGTACAGTGACGAAGATGAGAAGACTGCGGACACCTTATATAGCACCATGAAGCAGATGACGACTGACCTCCCGGGTAAGGGGCTTAGACGGAGGAAGGTCATGCACGCGGCCAAAGAAACTTTCGACAAGGGTGAGTCCGTAAACCTCGTCGTACTTCGAATTCTGCGCGTTCCTTCGTCGCTCACACCCCCTCCCGTACTGGTTTCGTCTGGTGGTTTTAAGGGTGGTCAACTCGTACCACGCATGGAGGAATGTTACACAGAGGGACGAACAAACTCCTAGATAAATTTCTAAGGAAACATCCCTGTTCATCCCTGTGCTCGTTTCGTTTAGTTTTAGGGGTAGTAGACCGATATCACCCAAAAAGGAACGTCTGTCACACCCTGACAACGTTCCCTCCGTGCTAGTTTCACCTATCAACCTATACCCGTAACAAACCAACCCCACACGAGTAAAATCACCCTTGAAATGCAATCCTTCTGCAATCTTTCTGCAACCCCTCGATCCCGAATTCCCGCAGACAGTGCTTCCGTTCATCTTTTCTTCCGTGCCGACTCTACCGTTCCCAGCAGCGGTACTGTGACATAATAGATGCAACGTCCCACCCCCGCTTCCCACCCTCAACGCATCCTCGAGTGATAAACACCGAACCAATTGACCCGAACTCCTCTCTGCCGTATCTCGGCTTGGCAGTGTCGGCCCGCGATGAGTATTGAACAGGTTACGCACACGGCTCGCACCTTGTTCCTCTGTCTGCTTTTAAGTCGGCAAAGGGAGGAAGAGACGCGGACTCTCAACCCCCTCGCACAACCTCTACGTCGCGTTCCGCGCAGCCACAGATGCGGTAGGCACGGTGCGCGCGATCTCCGCTCTGCCGTTGCGGGTTGTGTGCACTCGGAATGGGGATAAAGGCTGATACGCAACCGAACTCGTCGCTGCGACGGTTACGAGACATTCACAGACAGCGTGGACTCGCACAGATTCACGCCTAAGTGGATTTACACCTCGGCCAAAGCGTCGATGTATTCCGGAGGTGCGTTTACCCTTTAGGAGAAAGACATCAGGACCTGGACCGCTTCTCCTTTTCGTCTTGACACTTTCGGCGTTCTAACATACTCGCGAAATTGTTTGTAAAGTTGAAATTTTCGTTTTATACAATTGGAAACTACACGGGGTGTATTTCGTGAAATTAGTTGCGTGTTATGCACCATCGGACACCATTTAACTTTCACTTGTAACATCTTCTTCTACTCCCAACCGTTTAGGAGGTACAGCCTGTTCCAATTGCCTGGGACACCCTTTATAATCTGATATTTGTATCGTAGTTTTACAACTCGATCGAAATTCATGAATCCTATCCTTTTCTTTAACACCTGATCTTCGGAATTCATCTTTTTAACTCCTTGGTGAAAAGTTCCGTCACCCATACATGGGACCTTTCTCTGGAAGTCGAGAATTAACGTTGCCAGAAGTAATCTAGATGTACGCTCCTGTTAGAAGTTGGTAGTCGATGAGAAGTAGCGAAGAGGATTCCATCGACAGGACGATGAATATCGGTTATCTTCGGATGGTTATTCTTGGAGTCTCACACCGACAGAATTCGAAGATCCAATATCGTGGCTACATATACACGATTATGGCGAGGTTGCGGCATCGATATCCACCGGGGGAGCATTAGGCTTGCCTTCTGGGGGCGAGTCATTAGCTCCGGCGCCAATCAAGGCCTCCGTCTGGGGGGCAATCGTCTTGGTCGACGCTGGAGCTGACGACATCCTCCCAGAGGGCGAGGATTAATCTTCCCTCCTGGTGTAGACCCGTGTTATAACTCGAGTGGAAATCCTGATCGCGTGAACATAGTCGAAACCGTTTATATTTTTCTGCTGACTCTCATCCGTATAAAGACAAGCATACAGTAAATCCCATAAGTATTAAGTACCCTAAGTACCATCTATGTCTATCGAAGACATTTGTCTAAATTAAACGATAGGTTCGATGTTTACAAATAAACTTTTTCTTATAATTATATACATGTGCGAAGAGTCTATGTCTATTTATGTTTTTATAACGAATCATTTATTTGTAAACACCAAACCTGCGAAATTTAGACAAATTTCTTAGACATAGAGGGTACGAATATTTATCTAAATTCGCATTTGTCTACTCCCAATTAATTTTAGTAAATCTACTTCACTTACCGGAGCATTACTTCAGTGTATAGCGTGTTCGATTCACATCGACACCGCAGCTCCAGTGGAGGCTTGCCTTAAAGCAGGTATGAGCAACGTGGCTCGCCACCTGTGGGAATTTCACATCGCAGCAGAGAATATCGAATTGAATTCAAGCCTAACGAGATTCTGCTCGCCATTTCTTGCCGAGAAACCTCGAGTGTGCACAAGGGCCGATGCCCTTGCCCTCGAGCGCCCAGTTGGCCACCCCTGAATCGCAATTCAGATATCAGAGTTACGGTTAGTAACGGAGGGCTAAATAAATGTGCATCATAAATGTCCATCATAAATGTCCATCATAAATATCCATCATGAATGTGCGTCAGGCTTAAGTGGCACCCGAGGTTAAGCAGTCGGGATTCCCTCGTTGCTCCGGTTACGAAACCTCGCGCAATAGGGCGCTCGCGACGGAAGGGGTGGATTTCGTGCACCGATCACGGACTGTGATTCTCTAGGGTTACGGCCGCTTATTTTCGGCGGTGATCGATTCACCTTGCCGAAAATCGTTCCGTACACACGCCCACCGAGCAAACGACGTCCCCTACTTCTTTCATCCCCCAACGTCAGAGCCCGCTGAGGACGGTTTATCCCCTCTTCGACGCCCCGAGACAGTCGAGTGTCGCAAGATGAGAAAATGCGTTGCACTTTTAAAGGTGGATCTACCTGACCCACATCCTCGGATCCTGACTTGAAATGTGTACTCTGGAGATCCTGAAAACACGAGATAGTAATCGTAGTCTTCGTCTGGGACACGGAGGACCTCCCTTGACCCTTTACAGGTCACTGGTATTCATCGCTATTGCGAGATTTGTTTTTTAATGAAAGTGAGTGGAGATGAAATCTGAAGTTTGTCGGTTTGTTTGTCTCGTTTCCTTCTCTGGAAAATGTTCAAAAGAAGAAACGAGACAAAAACATATCAACAAACTTCAGATTTATTCCAACCTTAGAGTTTTGCCCATCTCTGTGAATGACGATACGAATGAACGTAGGTTGGCAAGAGTGAAAAATGTTGGTATAAATATATAGATGATAGATGTAGTGAAAATGGATTCCATGTGCCAAATGTATTAAATATTTCTCAAATTACATAAAGGAATGTCGTGATATAGTTCTCATTCCCACAGTTACTACTAACGAATTTTATAATTTTAAGTTTACGGTGTATGTAAACGGATTGTGACAAAAAAACAAAGTGGAAAAAAATGCCCAGGGAGTTGCGTTCAAGGGGTTGTATTATGCGGAGAAGAGAAGTTGCGTAGCGATATTCGAAAGATCGTATCGTCAGCAATTGTACTCGTTCTCGACGGTATTGTACGTCTTCTGTAGCACGCCAAGGTTCCACGCGCAAGTGACCAACTGAAGATGAACTTCCGACGAAGAGAGACACGTTTGGTTTGGATCCACGAGAGGTGCTACTTTACGCTTCGCTCGAGCGCCTCTCGAGTAGTTGACTGTTGTTGAAGCCAGCCCCTCGGAGCGAGGGTGATTGAAATAAGAATTCTTGGAATGCGTGTTTTAGAAGAGCCGCGAGTGTGCATAGGTATGCTTGTGTGGGAGGACGAATGTTCTTCGAGGAGTTTCCTCGCGTCCCAGGGTGAGAAATGCTCCTTCTTGGATGGCGGAACAACCTTGCGCTCTCGCCCTTTCATCCTGTCTCGTGCAATTTCTGCACGTCTGTTTTTGAACTTTAAAGGGACCGTTTGTTCCCGAACTTTAATTTCTCGCACCGAACACCATTTCTCCTGTTAAAGATACCATTTATCTTTACTTTTCCATCCGGCAGGATATATTCCAACTTAAATTTGGCGTTTGCATCGACAGTTTTGTTTCTCCAATGTACGTCAATCGAGTCTTTTGTCAGGATTTCGAGATCCCTGGCGTTCGACAGGAGGTTGATTCGACGAGGCGACAAGGGAACGGTTATCGAGTACAGAATCGACAACTCGTCGCCTGCGGCTATTCCATTTTGGGATAAATCGTCCCGATACCAGAACGGCCGGATCGAAGATCGAACGTTTATCACTTCTAGAGACCCGTTCGCTACCCGAAATTGGTATTTCCCGTTAGGTAGACGATTCACGAGGAAGCCACTTTCGCACCCCGTTTTCGCGTATGAAATTTTATGCTCGATCACTCGTTCGTTTCTACGCTAAATATTAGGGGGGCCGAAAAGTAATCAAAATCTCTTCGGCTTGGAAAAGTCTTTCAAGGAAAAATTGAAGGACTTTTTAAAGAAAGTGTTAGAGAATGATAGAAATTATTCTGTTGATTAGTACTTAAGATTTCTTTAATAAACGAATGTTGATAAAATTTTGATTACTTTTCGGCCTCCCTAATATTCTTGACATTAAAATTCTAGAAGCACAATTTTCGATGCTCACGTACCTTGCTGTTCCAACGTCTTATCGATTACGTTGTCACACCGCCACCACGTTCGATAAGTGTCTCCTTTCACCTACAACAACAACAACAACAAAAAAAATCTATCGCGTTTAAAAATGCACACCGGACTAATGGATTCCGGCTATAGATAAAATTTCGATTTATTCTAAGTACCGTTAATCGTTTGGGATTAGAGGCGATCGTTCGCACGTTGGGAGCTTCCGTCCCAATGGGATCGCGTGAATGCGTTCGTTGCGTGACACCAAAAATCCGCGGCGGCTTCAAAAGGTATCGCGCAGCTCGCGATCATCATAAACAACACTTTGGTCGTGTTATCTGATAGCAGCGATCCCGCAAACGCGATTTCACGCGTTCCTGGATAGCCTCCGTCGATGCGAACCCATTCACCTCCTTTGATGCGCGATTACCTCGCACAAATTATCCTTCTGCAATTCATAAAACTCGTTAAATTAAAAGAACAATTTTATACTCGATTTGTACTCGAACAATTGTATTACTCGACTAAAAAATTTCTTTTATTCGATGGGATTTATTCTGGACGATGAACGTTTCAGAATGTTCACCAACCACCCCCAAGGGGATGAGAGGTCACAGGAAGGAAAAGCTGGAAGAAGGATTCGATCGCGCGAATTAATCATGCGTTGTTAAAAACTCTGCAATCAAAGGATACAATTTTAGTACCCTGACCCATGAAGAAAGCGTAACGAACCGTGTGAATTGTTCACATAGTGTGAAAAAGTTGGTTGGGTAATAATAGCCTTTCCCGAGGAGAACGTCGTCTCCTTCTAAGAAAGGAGCTCCTTCGTAACGATCGACACGGAATTTTAATTAAAAGGCTAACAGTTTGGTAAACAATAGATTGTTTATCAAGGATCTGGTGGCTGTTTTATGAAAAGCCAGGTGTGTGCTTAACAAATTGTCAAGAAAGTGTGTTCCTTTCTTCTAAAAATCGGTATCAGATGTCACTGTCGATTGCACGTTGAGATCCAAACTGATCATCGTACTCGACAACTTTTTATCCGTCCTCGTCAATTTTCTTCGGGTCAAGTTTCCGACAATATGGAAAGGCGAAGGAACGAAAAGTCGATACCCTGTTGAACCGACACCTTTTGACATCGACCTCCGCGTGCTCGAAACTTCCCCGAAGAATCGTTCGAAACTTGTAAACGCTCGCGTTTTTCGAGCATCAGGTAAAGGAGTAAATAGAGTAAAACAGAAGAGCGACGCGTCTGACTTCTAATGGCGTTTTCTTTGCCAGGTTGGCACGTAGAGTCTCGTGCACGACTTCGCGCCAGTGTTGGATGGCTCTTCGTTGAGACATGGTCGATTTTAATAGACCCTAGTCTATATAGGACCTCTAGTCTATATAGGACCTCAGCCACTTTAGATGTGGCTGCGCCAAGTTTTACTTTATTTGGCTTAAATACGTAATTACGTCCTCTGGACTTTCCTACACCCTGTAGTCGCGCTTCATTTGTTTAAATCTATCGTTTAAGTTTAAATTGTAATCTCGTAGAGGAACTTACGTCGTAGAACCTTCGAGCCTACAACAATGGCGGCTAACGACGTCCTTTTATTATTCGATCGGAGGGTGTGGGATATAAATGAAAATATTCATGGAAATATGGAAATTGCTTTTTCAATCGGAGCAGCTGTTGCTCGTTCGATATAAGCTGATGGGTTCTCTGCTGTTCGCAAACAAACATTTTATTTTTAAATAAATAAACGTCAAGTGGGACGTACTTAAAAACAACAGACGTAGAAAATATCGAATTTCTTATTGTACCCTCAAATTCTTAATTTTACCCTTAAAATATTCCAAGCCCTCGATTGTTGAATACCCCGGACCAACTTCTGCCCCATCCACCCAAACCGATAGAAGGAAAGTTCCACAACAGTATTACCAGCCCTTTTCCACCCAGAAACAAGCCCGTTCCGCGACAACAATTTAGTTACCCAGATACGTAATGCTTTCGTTCGAGCAGGTTATGAAACTGCCATCGAACAGGGAACCTGAGAAACTAATACCTAGCCATCGACCGCTACCAACGCGTTCGGTATTCCTTTATTGCATAGCGAAATAAGGGAGATCGGGGCCTCTATCGATACAGGGGACGAATCGTTGGAAAAATTTCACGGTTGCGAGGGTGGCAGGAAGCAAACATCGCGGAAAATAGAAACGTCGAGGCAAGAGTGTCTCGCCTCGAGTCGTATCTCTCCGTTGTCTCTTGGACAAAAACGAGACCACGAATCCTCGTTTGCTCGTGGCGTTGATGAATCGCGGCGTTCCTCAAGGTTTCGCCTTCGGGCGAGCTTTTCGCCAGTTTGGTATCAGGGGGAGCCGCGGGTAATTTAATTTGTAACCGAGTTCGATAAATTGCCGTCGGTTAATTGTCAGTTCTTGCGCGACGAAAGTTGCGGGATTACAAATTGACGCCATCTTTTTTAGAGACTATCGCCGCGGACAAAGGCTAGAATTACGGGTACGATTTATTAATTATTAGCGACTAGGAGGTTCCGTAGATGTTGCGAGGAAGAGGTGTTATATTGTGCCGTTCGTTAAAAATAGCCGCGTATACGTGAAGAATTTACAATCAAATAATATTTAACAAGTAATGAGAGTAAATGATAAACTAATGTGATAAATACATATCATTGTCATAATTGTAGAATATATTCCGAGAATAAGGTGTCAAACGACAACTCGAAACTCAGTGGACTGTGGATCCGAGGATCGTGTGTTCGAATCTCCGCGCACCTTGTTTATTTTTCGTTTAGACTCCTACATGTATGTTACGTAAAATAATGATCATCGTACGTATATTTTCTATGCTATTCTACGTCATGAATATAATCCACAGTGTAGTAATGACAATAACGATGACGACGACGATATGAAATAATAACGAGTGACTATATCCACGACGGTGAAACTGAAGACGATAACAGCGATCGTAATGACTGCGATTATGGCAATGACTGCGACTACGACAATAACTACGATGATGAAAGCTGCCAATTTGTACCCCGTACATTTGCATGTATCCCTTGTATTACTGTACACAGTACGTCCCATATTTGCATACAAAGTAAAACATATTTGCACGGAAAATATGCATTTCCGTAAACGTCCGCGATCTAATTATGAGAGTGGTGTGTGTCAATTTATCTCCGTCACAGGACGCGAAAGGTTTTGCATATCAATCGACTCCGAAAATATTGACGACCGATAATTGGCTCGTTGTACGATTGCACGAATTTTGCATGGATTTTTACGAAGAATGTAATCCGCAATGAAATTCTGTAATTAATTTTCGTACGATCCTTCTAAGTTATATTTCACTGTACAGCGACTTACTGATCAACTTTGTTCATTTTCTATCGAATCTTCCTTTCGATCGACGCTAATTTTTTCTAGGCACTCGTCCTGGAAACTCCGTTTTGCTTTTTGAATAGATCTAGAAGAGCTCAATTGTCGAAGAATAGCGCTTCGTTAACAGGATCGCGACGCGTCGCTACATGCAGATTCAATTTAATCTCAAACGATGGAAGTTCATTAAACGGTAGACTGAACAGATGCGTCTTATTCCAACGCTTTCTCGTACTTTAGAACGTGCTTCGAAATAACGATGCCGGGAAGATGGTCTCTTCCGCGCGATTCGTCGCAAGAAACGGACGACTGCGGATCGGACTGAGAATTATCGTCGTTCGAGAGACACTCGAGTTTCTTAATAATCCCATTTCCGGCGAGTGACTTCAGATCCGTCCCGGGAAATGATGTTTCCTTTTGATATTTAGACGACGCTCGGGATTAATTTCCAAGCTTAAACTCGTCCATGTTGCACGCTCGTAGATCTCGGGAGATCCGTTATTTTAATTTATTAAAACAAAGGAATTCCTAGAGATTTGTACGACTGGTGCTTTGAAGCGAAAATTGCACTGTCTCTGCGAGAAGGAGTAATTACGTCGAAATGAAAATTAGTTAGAGATGATTTTATTTTATTTTTGCAACGATATTGGAACATGGAATGTTCGCAATTTTGCAATAATCCCGTGCAAGAATGACAAACGAAGGAAGGGTTGCCGTGTTAGCAGGGAATCATTGCTGCGCGACGTTTCAATATCAAGATCGTCGCGCCGCCATCGATTACGCAAGCTATTAACGCCACGATTTAGCGGTTTATTAAAGGAGCGACGTTCTCGCCTCGTCAGCAAGCTGGAAAGCCAATTCCCGTGAAAATTACGCGCGGCCCGCTAACGAAGTGTCTCGTTAGGAAACGAGACTGCTGGAATCGATATTTGATAACAATAATTATAATTTTTAGTTGGGAATTAAACGTGAAAAGAATCCAGTTAAAGTAAGAACATTGAAAAATGCACACGCTCGAATCGACGTATCAATGTTACTTAATATTTATATATAATATATGCATTTCTTTTTGCAGCATCGCGTCTCCTCAGACGAAAGATACCATGTACTGGCCACTTGATGACCCCCCGCCGCCTATGGATACAAAAGGTTCCAACACAGGTATGCACACGATATGAATACTTTCTTTGTTCGCCTAACGATAAGCTCACATCGCTCAAAAAAGTAACGGTACACTTCCGTTCAATGGCGCGCCCGGAAGTATTACAGCGGAAATACGGTCGAAAATTCAAATAAATTCCACCAGTGGGGAATATGAAATTTCGTTAAACTTTATTAGAGAAGATAGAAAAATGTTTGCTTCGTTTTAAAACTTTATCTAACGGGCTACTTAGAAGCAGACTTTAATTGAGAAAAGAATTTTCTACAGTAGCATGTGCCAATCTAGCCAGACAATAATTCTTTCATACTGTTAAGGTCGATTCAAACTATACGACACGGACCGTCACGTTCCGGCAACGACACGTACCGACACAGACCCGACAAAACATTAAAACACGCGTTTTAATGGAACTAATCGCACTATTCCCGTTGACGGAACGTTCAAGTCGGTGTCGGTTAAGTGCGAATAGTTCCATTAAAACGCGTGTTTTAATGTTTTTGTCGTGTCGGTGCCGGTACGTGTCGTTGCTGGAACGTGACGGTCCGTGTCGTGTATAATATAATAAATACTGCAATTAAAAAGCCTATAAACAGGCTCCCGGTAAATAAAGTGTTAAGACAGCATCGTCTTTGCCATCGTTACGTTACGTTAGATAACAATCCTATCGAAGCACGTGGACGCCTTCCACAGAGTTTCCACGATTAATTTTCACCTCCGCCCGTCCTCGTCGTTGGTCGTACATAGAAAACACGCGTTACCCTCGCAATTCGCTCGCATTCAGCCGATGTAACCGTGATTTCGCGACCATTGTCCGCGGATGAATTATTTCTGACGAGTCCACGGATCTCCACGGTCGGACGCGATGCAAAAATATGCATCGCAGGGATTCGCCCCCGGGTATCCTTATATGCATTTGAATGCATCATCCGTCGTGGAATTCCTGGCACCACCGAAATCAATACGACGGTATGCGGAAACCATTGTACGGGAACGAGACACCGTGCACGGATTATTCGCGTTATTTGACGTTCTGATCACGTTTAATAAACGGGCTTGCGTTTCTTGTTTACGGAGACGGACGAACGCAATAACAGTCGCGCTTAGATAATTCGTCAGAAACGTTCGTGGAACGAATGTTAACCACTCGTGGTTAATTAGAAAGATTACGAGTTAATTAGAAATAAACAGAAATTCAAGGTAATGTTTAAAGCTATGTAAATTTAATCGCGAATAATTGTTCACGCTTCTAACAATTACGACGTGATGAGATATAAAAGAACTGAAAAACATACGAGACGGTGTCTTTAACCCTTTGACCTATGATTTACTGTAGGATCGTGTGCGCCGTAATTAGATATAAAACTCCTTGCGTCTTTTCATACGACGTGTCTGACTGGTTCTTCATTTTCTACTGAAATTCTGTAACACGAGACCTGACACGTTCACGACACCGTCTGTACCACCGCTACGTGGTGAGAAACGCAAATAGCAGCGCCGGCGTGCGTTAAACAGGCTAAGAGGTCATTCTAACAAATTTCCTATGAGAATCAACGAAACACCGAGCCACGAAATTGGGTTCAGAACAGCGATAAGGAAAACCCTAAACTTCGAATAAATTTGAAGTTTCTTCTTTTGAACATTTTCTAAAGAAGGAAACGAGACAAACATATCGACAAACTTCAGATTTATTCGAAGCCTAGGGTTTTGCCCATCTCTGGTTTAGAATGTGTTCCAGTTCGTCGACGATTCGATACAAATTTTCGATAAATATTTCCTTTTGGTTGTCGCACAATTCCACTCGTAACAACCACAAACGCGATACTATGCACCACTGTGTCCTCGGTGCAACCAAGGTTTGAAATACGAAAGCATCGTGCAGAGAGAACGGAATAGAAAAGACGGGAAACATAAAAATATGAAATTGCGGACGTCGATGCACGGAACGGGGACGTACGGAAACGCAGAGGTGTGAAACCCTAAGCACGAGGATGCGAAAATGTCGAGCTGCGGCTTTATAAAAGAGGGAAGACGAGGAATATCCGTGGAATGTAACAATGAAGTGGCGTTAGAGCGCTACGAGGATACGAGAGCGCAGATATTGCGAAAATACCGAAATGCGTGGACGAGAGTGAATACGGGACGAAGGGAAACGTGAAACAATTAAAGTACGAAAACAAACGGAAACGTGGCGCTCGTCTGAACGAACAATTATCGGAGAGAAAGAATTTTTCGTAGAAGGTACTCCTTTAGATAGTTAGTGGATGGCCAAGTTTTATGGAAAGAAAGGAAGACATAATCTAAAGAAAACGAAGTATATATGAACCAACGTGAATTTACTTCTTTTTTTCTAATTTTTCATAGAATGTTCTCTTTTAAACAGTCAATGGATGGCCAAGTTTTATGGAAAGAAAGGAAAACCTAATGTAAAGGAAACAAAGTATACATGAACTAACGCGAATTCGCTTCTTTTTTTTCTAATTTCTAACGAATACATGCATCGAAGAAACTGGCGTGCGAATAACTCGCGAATGTTTCATGGAACGGACTTTGCGAGCGTATTTTACTTATAAAGTCGTATAACTCGACTATAACACCTAATAAGCCTTGCATTTGTTCGTTCTTCGCATTAGTTTCATTCCTGCTTGCCGTTACTTTGCTTAGATCCCTCCCTTTGTAATTCTTCTATCAAAGACGCCACTGCTCATAGCTCGATTGCCTCAGGATTGCTAAAGGATACTATAACTACCATCAAACGTAGCTACAGCCACCGAGGGCGAAACGAACGGAAAATTTATGTCCACAGATCGATACGGCGATAACAGCTCGAAAGACACGCCGACGAAACGTAAAACGCGCGTCCTTGCCAGCGAACGTGCACGTCCAATTAATTTCGTTCTAATTCGTCCGAGCGACCCTAATTAGGACTCGTGGTTCGCGAAACGACAATGGACAGGAGGCGAATTCGAAATGTACGCGGAAAGACGATTGCGGAAACGCCTTTATCGAACCCTGCCGGCCGAGCCCGTTCGATGGCGTGGCCGGAAGTTTTACAGCGAAAGTGCGGTCGAAAATTCAACCAAATTCCATCTATGAAATTTTGAAATTTGAATATGAAATTTTGTTAAACTTAGAGAAGATTATTAGAAAAGATAAAAAAATGTTTGCTTCGTTTTAAGGTTTAAAGAGAGGGCGTTTGTTGTAGGGTTAGGCCATTGATCCCTCGCACCTCCCCCCTCGCAGAGTGCGCCACCGAGCCTGGCTTGCAACTAACCGATTTGTTTCTATTATTAAGTACCCACTTCCTATCGATTTTATGTCGTCCCCATAAATTATACATCGCGCAACGCGTACAACGATTGGCTTTTCCGATCCACGTGCTGGCTTAAAGCACGAGCAAGCCAAAAAGGGGGCTGGGATAAACATGATTCATATCGAACACACGTGATCCATTTCTATTCGCCTAGGAGTACTATATTTTCACGAATAATATGGTTCTTTTTATCTCTGTCTATATCATCTTCCTACAGGATCGAAGGTGTACTGTTTCATACCAACAAACGATAACAATTTTTGTATTTTTTATTTTAAAACGAGCCCCGATACGACGCACTTTGGACTAGGCTTAATTGTACTTTATTCGCATAATTTATTAAAAGAAAAAAAAATTGTAATTACGTATAATTAAAAGCAGTCAGAAAGTGGTCGTGTTTGGGCTCGTTTTCGACACTCTCGTGGAAATATAAGAAACTCTGTCGCTGTATTTACGAACATTTTGAGATCTCGAGTTTCAAAAGGGTCAGTTTTTGTACACCGAATGAAACGTCGAGCTCTGTTATTCGCGATTAAGCAATACGACACGTAACTCAAAAACCAAAGCGGTGCAACAGGTGCCATCGTCGAACGACTCCGTGCAAATTGGCATCATTTGGCATTAATACAAACGGGTCCGTCCGTTCTTTGTTTCGACGTGCGCCTTTTCGACGTTTGCTTCAACGGGCCAGTCGATAATTCAATTACAACGCGACCTTTCGAAACCGTCACGCTCCTACCAGCGCGGAAAAAGTTTCGCGATGCTTCTTCCTCGTCTCGCCACGCGTCACCCCGCTGTCGCGAAACTTTTTTTCCCTATCAACCGCCCTTGTCTTTATTTACATTTTGAAAGTCGATTCTCTCGCCTGAGCTCTCGCTTACGGCTCGAACACTGCATCGACCATGAAATTAAACTCTTTTAATATACCACCGGCGTCCACTCGTTCGCTTCTGCTTCTATATAATCTACTCGTATACCGTTTATTTACCGTATAGTTTATTTTAAACTTCGAATTACTCCTGAAAACGTACGGCCACTTTTCGGCCGTCCTGTATCCTAATACGATCCGAATGCACGTTCGCGGACGTCGTTACATCGCCAATTTTCGCAAGAGACCAGGCGCACGAGTATTTCTTTAATCTTGGTCGGTGGAAGTAGTTCAGCCGAGTTTCGTCGGGCGGCTATTAGGTCAGGCATGCCATCGGGATATCGTTGCACGTGAATTGGCAATACCAAGGCAATCTACTACTGTTTGGAAGCCAGCCAGGCCAAACGACTTCACCTTCTCGTGCCAGAATTCGGCGGTTTCCAGTGTCCAGCCTACGGCTACGCCAAGAAATAACTTAAGCTTATCGGGCACCGACTGAAAAATAACGCCGTGATCGTAATTTACAGCTTCGCTCGTATCCACGCGCTTTTTAAAGTAATCTCGTCGTCGCGGATGACGAGCGAGATAATGGTGCGGGGGAAAAAGGGGAAACCGGGAAGTCTGGAAAGATTATTTTCGTATGAATTAATCGTATCGTGCCGTGAAATATAATATTCTTGTCATATCGTTAAATATATTCGTTTCAGGAATGCGACGTCGTGATGATGTTCCCAAGTGGAGCGAGCGACGAAACTCTGATGTGGCTCCTACGTAGACTACGGGCTGGAACCCCGGGCCTAGTGGTACACGTACGACATCATGCTTCATCAGACAGTTACGGGTTCTACTTAACAGCCCCTTTTAGCGTGTAAGTACAGAGTGCTTTGCAATCACACATGCAGTGGCACCTTCTGTCCTCGCAACTAGAGAGAGACTGCGCGTATTGTGCGTTTCTCGCAAGTAATCGGTCCCGTCTATTCATATATAAACCATTCCCAACCGAACTCCAAACATTCAAAATCAGTGATGGACAAAACTCTAGGTTTCGAATAAATCTGAAGTTTGCCGATGTGTTTGTCTCGTTTCCTCTTTTGAACACTTTCTAGAGAAAGAAACGAGACAAACACATCGGCAAACTTCAGATTTTTTCGAAGCTTAGGGTTTTGCCCATCTCTGTCCAAAATCTCGGTCTCCCTACACAGGGAATTACCAGTGCACACACTACCCCCACCTAATTTAGTATTTTTAAATAATACCATCTATGCCGTCTTACCAAGTCTATTTTCACGTGTCATTTTGCACGTCGCCCTTCATTCCGTTTGCTAATGTACGAATTTAATATCGAATAGCCACGACGCGTAGGGTAACATGCTTAAAATCGATCGTCGACAGATTATTGAAAGCCGCTGAAGAAGTACATTTGCCAAAGACGCTACGCCAGGAGTTTGGCGGTGGTCTGAAAGAGTTCGTGGGCTCCGAGGCGAGCTGCTTCGAGGGGAACGACGACGAAGCTCAATTCTTTACCACCCAGGAACGACAGTCCCTGGTCCTGCACCTGCTGCACACCCTCAGAGCGGGACCGCAGGATCTCCACAGTCTGCCTGGCCTCAAGATGGTGGAAGGACAGGCAATCATTCCGAAATGCATTTCTTCGGGGATCATTTCGCAGGTAGAGTCTTCAGGAATTGTAAATATCTTAACTTCAACGATGGGGAATATATTAGGCGTAGGAATGAAGAAATTAGAAAAATTAATTCCAAAGGTGGCATTAATAACGAAAATAAATCCGAATAAGATTCGTGAAATTCAGTTTACCGAAATTAATTACTACGATATATGGTAAATTATATGATCTTTGTTTCGATCTTTATTTCACGTACAATTAGATTTTCTAATTTTTATTAAAATTTCCGTCGTGCAAACGACGGATGTGCATCTTGTATTCCTTGTTCGAGAGTCTCGAATCGCGAGACTTCGATCGAGAAGGGTGTCTTGCTCATCCCAGTTAGGAATCCCTGGTAGGATTAGAAACTTTGTCGACGAGGGGGGTTAATGACTGCGCCCGGAGTTCGAAAGACTTTCGGTGTTTCGGTAATTGAAGTCCTTGTTCGCGGGGACTGCAAACTGTTCGAGTTATTATTCCGCGGGGAAGTTGGCCGCGAATGGAGTTAGCCGTACCGACGACGGAATTAATTTTCAATCAGGTCTTCCCTCTTCACGAGTTGCCTGCTCTGGAGAAGTTACAGCGAACGTGGGTACGCGCGTTTCTCAGCCCTCAACCCTTGGACGACATTTGTAAATACTTTGGGGTGAAGATTACCATGTACTTCGCGTGGCTCGGACATTACACCACCGCTCTGATCGTCCCTGCTGCATTGGGTGCCATATATTGGGTAAGACGTTCTCCAAATAACGTGTTTTCGTATTTTTATATTCGATCGAACTTCCCCGACTGGTGGACGCTAGAAAACTCTAGGGAAATAGCAAATTTACCGTTGGAGTTTCGCGAGAACAAACCGGTGTAATTTCTGTAGGAGTCTAAACGAAAAATAAGGCACGGGGGGATTCGAACCCACGAGATCCTCGGATCCACAGTCGACCGCTTTACCTACGCGACCAATACCGTACCCTACGTTTCGTGTTCTTGTTTTGACTCCTTATTGTTGGGTATAGGAGTCGCGGATACTACATTTCAAGGTTCCACTTTGTCTTTGTTTGAGACAAATAAGTAATTAGTGCATGTAGAACTGCTTACATCGTTATTGTTTAGTTTGCCGGAAGCTGCTTGATCTACCCTAGGTGTTGAAAACGCGAAATATTCTAATTTTCATTGTACCGACGATACGTCCGCTTCCACTTTGCTCCAGATCGGCATCATCGGCAGGAATCAAGCGGTGGAAGACGTGGCGTACGTTCTGTTCTCCGTCTTCAACGTAATCTGGGCCACGGTTTATCTGGAAACCTGGAAGAGGAGAGGCGCCGAATTGGCCTACAGGTGGGGTACTTTGGATCAAAGAGACGACCTACTTATCGAGCCTAGGCCCTTGTTCACGGTAAGCTTCCAGTGAATCATCGCATGCATCTGTTCATAGAAAAGTCCTTGTTGCCCAAATGTTTCTTGTTGTAAATAATTGCAAACGGTGATGTTACCAATGATGTTCCCTGTGCGCAGGGCACCTTGGAAATCTCACCTGTAACTGGAAGACTGGAGCCAACGTACCCCAGGTGGAAGAGAAATATGTGTCGATACTTGTTGAGCGTTCCAATAATTGCAGCATGTTTGTTCTTCGTTTTCATCGTGATGATCTGGAGCTTCCAAATACAGGTAAAATATATTTCTCTATTTCCAACCATTCTGTGAAAGAAACACTGTGCGAAACTCTGTTCTTCAACTATAAATATTGCATCGAAATTTGAAGTATCAGAAGTTCCTTGCCAGATTCATTTCGAGATCCTCAATCTCGAAGTTAGATATTCGACTTAAATATTCGTGGAGTAACCGAAGAGGAAAATTGTCCTGTTAAATCTCCCCTCTGGCAGCATGCCTAAGACGATTGTGCTTGCAGAATATTCCTCGCACAGACGTAATGCGCCACGAAAAACGGGGAAACGATTTAGTTCAGAGTTTTTACGTCGTCGCTGGACCGATACCAGGGCAAAATATTATAGATCACCTATGAATAATATATGTGTGTCCATTACGGTGATTTTTCACCCATCTTCTCGATTCTATCGTTTGAATATTTTGTTTGGTGTTCTTTGGTCGCATCAGTAATTCAAGGAAGAGGTTGATGTACAGTTTACTTATTTCAACAATGTTTCAGCGTTTGTAGATTCTTTTCAAGGCACATAATGTAATAGAACTTCGCATAGAGAAGATACAACTGACCCCCATCTATTAACAATATATATTTGTTTAAAGAAAAGAAAATTAAACCTTCTATTCATATAATTGATTCAAATTTCGCGCGCGTTTTAAAGTCAACCTAATCGCCATCTAGCGGTGAATAGGTGGAACTAAAATTCCGACCTCCGTACAGCGCACCACCGGGAGAACGCCCAAGCTTGTCCTCGAATAGTTCTCACTGTCAACGCTAGATGGCGGTATTTTCATGTTATTTACCGACGTCGGTCGGTACTTTATCATCATGTCGGTAAATAACCTGTAAATGAAACCTGTAAACTTGAGGGTTTTCCCGATAGATGATCGTCAAGTCGACCGTCGAAAGCGCGCGAAAAATTTGAATTAATTTCGCGAGAATTAAAAGTAATTTCCTTTCTTTCGTACAACTATAAAGTAGGATGGCTGTTGATTGTTTGAAAAATATTTGCAGGAATGGTGGGACGCTCGTCTGGAGTCCGCTGGATACGGGTTTTGGCTGAGCTACATGCCAAAAATTTTGCTCGCCGTGGTGATAACGTTAATGGACGAGGCTTACTTCAAAGTCGCCGTATGGTTGAACGACATGGGTACGTGTAAATTGCGGAAACGCATAAGTTCGTTGCCATAGTCCTATTATCTCTCTCGACGATAACGATCTCCGTGCGGCTCGTGACACGAGCGAACGACATTTACGAGTTTTTTTCCTCGCATTGTTGAACCATCACCGAGACACTCTGCACGTCTAGTTTTCAAGTGCCTAGCATATACTAGGGGTACCCATAAAATAGAACTTAACTTTGTTTTTTCATTCCTGTACAATTCATCTATTTTTTCTTTTGTTAAATTGAACAACAAGCACCCCTGTTCTTCAACTTATATAGATGATAATTCTTACAATTTGAAAAAAATAAATGACATTTCTTATGCGTACCCCTAATAATTTTTTACGAATCTTTTCACAGCTTAGCTTCTTCTAGAGAGTAACTCAGAACTATGCCCCCCTCCCCCGATTAACATAATCGAACACGGATCTTAACATGGCGAATGTTTTATGTTCTCTTCGACATACGAATACGTACGAGATATATATATATATATATATCCTAGGCATTCTTATCTGTCTCTACTACTACCTACTATTACCACTACCTCTTTCTACTTCTCTCCTTTTTCTGTCGTATGTTTATTTCATTTATTTACATATCGGAGAGCGGTCATGTTACAAGTAGATAGTATTTGAGATTTTTGTGTGTTGGACGCAGAAAACTATCGGCTAGACACCGAGTACGAGAATCATCTGATCTACAAGGTGGCACTGGTAATAAGAAGAACACTCCATTTTTCCACCAATAGATTGTGCGTGCGTGCGTGTGCGTGTTGTGTTAGCCGTTCTTACACGTCCTCCTCTAATCGAATCCAAGAGATTACCCAACTTCGGAAGTAACTGAACGATTGCGACAATTATTTGGGACTTTACCGACGAAATTTTCGTTAAGTGTCGCGTGGTTATCCCCGCCACTTCCTCGAGGCTTGGTAGAGCTTTGTATAAGAATAAATTCCACTTTTTTTGGATGCTGCAATATATTATCATTTACCATATAATATTCGAGAGTTCTCCTTTAACGTTAATACATTTGACCGAAATTAGAATATAAATTCGTGAATTTAGAGGTGGACTGCTAAATGTGGTGTTAAAAATTAGAGCTCTTGCGCTTCTTTCGTTTCGAATATAGCGTGGAATTGTCCGCTCTGGCTGTCTCTGTCGCTGCACGATAAAGTTTCGTTCTCTTTAAGAGTACCTTCCGCTTGCGCTTGTCGATACTTCGTGGCACCTCTCGTGTCTTTTGCTTCTCTAATTGCATCACGTACGCGTAGCGTGTATGTGTATCGGTCGAACAACGACAGATAGAAAGTATACAGAGGAGACTATGTGTTTCAGTTTCAGTTTGTAAACTCCTTCCTATCGCTATTTTACATCGCCTTCTACATACAAGATCAAGAGAGGCTGAAAGAGGTAAGGACCCTTTTATTCCCGTTTCTTCCTTGTTCTATATTAGGTTCCGTTGTTTCATTTTGTATACTTGAAAATTACTTATACGTCTCTATTCTATGGTAGCTATGATTAGTATTCTATGATTAGTATTTTATAATTAGTATTTTCGAGTAAAATATTGCTTGACCGTGTACGTAGGGATATAAAAGTGTAATTTGAAAACCACCACGCCTTTACTCGATAATGCTCTAGCAGATACACGATACATACACTCTATTTGGATAATACACACGTTTTAGCGATTCTTTACTTCGAAATTCGGAAGCTTCCAGATAACAACTCTAGATAGCTACTAGCCCGAGTCTGTTTTCACATACTTTAACCAAATGACCGCGTCGCATAAGAGTCAATTTGAAGTATTACGAACTCTCTGAGTAAAGAGACAACCCAGTCGAATGAAATTGTCTCTACTATCGTTTCAGCAACTGGCCGCTCTGCTGATAGCTCGGCAAGTGATCGGGAATCTGAAAGAATCCGCGGTGCCGTACCTGATCGAGCAGCTTCGTTTGGCGCGCATGAGCTTCGTGCTCTTCGGCGCCCTGAGCCCGAGCGAGGACAGACCGCCTCCAGGTGAAGAGAACGACGAGAACCGGAAGGAGTCCGAGGACAAGAGCGAACGATCGGATGGCGGGAAGGGCAAGCAGCCGAGAAACGTCAGCCAGGCAGAGCTTGAAAGTTCCCTCTACAGAGTAGGGCATCCCACTAATTCTCTACTTAGTGACGTTACGTTCAAGGTTTGGTCTAGATTTAGCTAATTTCTTTTCGATTCGATGCACTTCGCCATCGCGCGCAGAAATGGCAGCGCTGGCGATCCAGGAATTCCAATCAGAGAATTAAAAACATGGTCCTTGTTCCAAATTCTCGATGAATCTTCTTTTTTCATTGAGAAGAAGTTAGTCTGTGTAATAAATAGCATCGAATAATGAATAATAAATAGTCTGAGAGTCTTTACGATACAGAGCTCTAACTCCGAAACTATCGGCAAAATTTCAAATATGGAAATTGCATGGTAACATGGGGCTCATGTTTCAACGAGAAGGAATTTTTGTTAACTTCGTTATTTAACGAGATACGATGGTCAAGTTTCGTTTTTCAAACGGAACTGTATATATTTTTTTTTTATACCATGCGATAGTACTTTTCAAGACGAATTCATTAAGCTTCAATGTATTTGCCCGATTTTGATTAGTTTTCAAGTTTACTGTGATCGAATCAGCTTGTGTCGAAATAATGAATAATAAGTAGAATTCCTGAAAAACTTTTGAACTTTGTTGAATTTGTTAAACTATCGATCCAAGTTGCCAGCGCTGCCAAGTTTAAACATTATCACACGTCACATCATCGATTATCTTCCCACTCTCGTGTCTCCCACGTGTCTCCTCCTTTTGCTTGCGTATACATCTTTTCTTTCGTTTGGGAACCTTCAAGCCCTGGCGATTCCGTTCAAACCTAAACCCCGTACCCACGCTACACACGCACGTCGAGAACGGGTCCGTTCGTACGCGGACGAAGCAGCTAATTAATGTTGTCCTGTGTTGTCTGATCGGTTCTTTTTGCAGAATTTTCATGATTTTTATTCCCGTTTTCCACCGATTCCATCAACGATGCGCAGATATCAACCAGAAAGGTAATGTCACCGCTCATCCTATCATTAAACTCGATGACCCTTTCAATTAACGATAGATTCGCGTGGATTTTCTATAATATATAAATATAAATAATTGTATCACACAGGAATTTGACACTTTAAAATCGTAGTCATACATATTAATAGTAATACATTAGCGATCTTTGATTCGTAAGCCTCTCTTCTGAAAGGAGCGTATTATAGAAGAGCGATTATTATATAAACGGAAAAGAATACGTTCTTGGCAGAGAATAACTGAAAGGGTTGAATCCAATATCACGGCTTTTTCATGCTGATTCCATCTCAAGCGCTAGCTTCTTATTTTCCGTTTGACGAGCATAGTAACCCTCACACCACCCACGCTAGATACACGTGATAGAAAATGTTCCGCTGGATATCCCTGAATATGTTTAATATACGATTGGATTACGCTGCAGTTTTATCGATATCATTAACCCTTTGCACCCGAGAGGTGACTCGAGAGGCGTGATTAGGTTTCACGCAGCAAATCTACGATACCTAATGTTTCTTTAGGTTTAATTTCTTTGGAGCTCCACGAGGTAAAGGTGACTTTATTCTGAAATCTAGATAGCTTAGAATTCATGACAATAGAGCGCTAAGAAACATCTCGAGTGCAAAGTGTTAATGATAAAACCTACCACGACCTTCAGCTTTTCTACAAAAATGATTACGGTTACATGGTTTTCTCCTTAACGATATAACCTGCAACGAAATCGCATGAAATACACAACTTAACGAATAATTATATAATGTCGTTCTTTCTGAATAACTGACCTGTCATAGCGATTTAGAACAATTCGCGAGAACTTGTGCAAATCTTTCTATTTTGTAGTACGACGGGGCGTTTTCAGAGCATCTGGAAATGCTATCGCAACTCGGATACGTCTGCCTATTCTCTTCGGCGTTCCCATTGGCTGCCATGGCTGCGTTGCTCGGTAATCTCCTCGAGCTGCGCGGCGATGCTTTCAAGCTTTGCTTCGTCCTCCAGCGGCCCTTTGGCCGGAGGGTCTCCAACATCGGAACTTGGCAAGTAAGTTATTCGAATTTTCATACATATTTATCGAATCGTATAAGTACCATTTTGTGTTCAAAACTGTTGGAAATGGGTGGAATTAATAACAGTCTTTTTATTTTATTTCGGACGTCTACTTTATTCGACTTTACAGAACGAACGAGAACTAACTAAAAGCTCAGGCCTACGCGAATGAGAAATTCTAACGTCTACTTAAAGAAAAGAAAATTCTGCCTGCGCTCTGTTTATTGGCCTGGTCTCGGGCGACAAACAGTCAAAGGTCCTCAGACCTGGTGGTGCCAGTCCGATACTTTAACAGACAGAAAGGGCAGCGCTTTCGCAAAAAATAAATGCTTAACGCAAATGTACATGTATATAATTCAACAATTTGTGAACGAAGGTTTCGTGATGAACGGATTACGAAGATAGAATTATTATTTAATTTCCCAGAACGCTATGGAGGCGATGGGTCTGGTTGCGATTCTGGTGAATTGCGCGCTGATAGGACTGAGTGGCCAGGTGCAGAGAATGTTTCCAGAGATGTCGGCTACTCAGACGATCCTCTTGATAGTCGCCTTGGAGCACATCATGCTGGCGATACGGTTTATTATAATCTGCGCGATCCCCGACATTCCGCACTGGGTGGCCACCGAAATGGCCAAGGTGGAGTTCTTGAGGAGGGAGGCTGTCAGAAGGCTCTCCTCGACTCCGTCGCCGGAGCAGCAGCCGGTCACGGTGATAGGTAAACGTAACTTGCGACGTATCTTTCAACCTAACACTCGCTACTTACCTGTTTCTTGCGCAGCCCCCCGTTTCTCCAGCGACAATCAGAAGTATATCTTTCACCTATAGCTAGATCGAAACTTTACGATGGCTGAACGTTACCAACTCGGGGGAATTTAGTGAATTCAATTTACAGCAAATACATTCTGCATACATTCGTAGTACTCGAGAACTCGAGAAACGATTGTAACAACACTGACTACTGTACAACTTCTCTACGTTTAGTTCCAAATTTTAACTCTTTGCTGTACCTTGGATACTTGGATGTACCCACAACGAACTCCAATGGTAACTACTCAAGTAGCAAATAGAGAAAGGCGAGATCGCGAAGAACTGTGCGATTTTAATTTGTTAGAACAAACGAAAACGATTCAATTAGACTTAAAAAAAAAAAAAGGTTACGAAACGTTTATGAGCCCAGAACTTAAAGTCTAATTGTTTTTGTTTTTTTAAACTTCTTTTCCTACTTTTTCTCTTTTCACGGCGCGGTGAATAGTCGTAGAGCAAAGGGTGAACATCGCTACGTTTGTTAATTCGACCGATATCACTGTGATCTTCGCCTTTCCTCGCCACTGAAACTTAAATCGTAGAGCAAAGAGTTAACATCTCGATCAGGACGAACATATCGAAACACGTGACGTTCAGTATCGTGTTTAAATCTCCATCCCATCCTCCGATCGGGAAAATTCTCAACCACGGGTGTCGTCCTTCCTCCTCCCATCTATTAATTTCGCCCGAACTCAGGGAGATTCGTGGTGAGTCCAGCAGACGGTGAGACGGAAGAGCAACAGCTGCTTTCCGAACGTTCCGGCGACGCGACGACGCCCAGCCTCCCGGACACGCTGACCCTGACGTCTACCACCCAGACGCCCAGCAGCCCTCCGACGCCCAGCGTCGCGTCGGTGCCGAGAATCTCCGAGACACCGTCCGCGGTTCAGACCCCTGGCAGCGCGTCCAGCAGCGACATAGGTACTCCTTTCCTGACTGAAACTAACATGGGCAGCATTCGCGACCTTCACAATTCACCCAGATGCTCGATTCCTGGCGGAGAACGAGGTTCGACAACAGGAACAACTGTTCCTTCCTTTCTTTTTCACCCCTCAAACTTTCGTTAACGTCAAACGTCCGAAATATTAAGAAATGTTATGTAATTCTTTGTAGTATTCATTAGTTTCTTCTTTCTTTTTTTTTTATAAATATTGTTTCCATTGTTTTTTGTTATTCCTTGTATTATTTTTCTGATGGTCCGAACTGTTAAAGAAACAACTGATATGTAATTCTTTGTAGTATTCATTAGTTTCTTTTTCTTCTTTAAATATTGTTTCTATTATTTTCTGTTGTACCTTGTATTATATTTCTGGCGGTGCATCCATCGTCCATGAGTGCTACAAGGAATGATACACGCGGAAGCCTTAAATCTAAAGTGATACGTAATTCCTCTTTTAAAATTTCAGTTCTTTTCTTCTTTAATTATTGAACAGGTTCCCTATATACAAACACAGAATGTAAAATTGATTACACGAAGGGAACACCGGGAGAAATTATTTTTCTCGTTTGCAAACATGCAGGTAGACGTTCGAGAGACTGGTTAACGAGCGAACCAGAGGCGTCGGGAGGTGCCGATCACTACAGCCATCATTTAACGATCGGACCTCACGGAGGTGTGGACTGGGTCAGGAGGTTAGGTCTGGAGCCTGGAGGCCGGAAGTCCAGCGACTCTGAGATCAGCGGAGCTGGTACCGTTGGCGGAAGCGGAGACGAGGCGATTCATCTTCACCGATCCACCGATTGCATCGTCTCGAAAGATCTTGCTTCTTCGTCGGACAGCGACCTCCTCAGGTACGCTAACCTTCTCGAAAACTCTTTTAACCATTTACGATCGATCGAAGTTTTGTTAAAATTAGAGATCACAGTTTTCGACGGGTATTAAAATACACGGGTACACGGATATCGAAATACACGGATATCTAGGTACGTACACGTGCATCGACATACACGAGCACGCATACGTCGAATTATCTATCGTTACCCGCGACTTGAATATTTATTTTAACTAGTAAATAAAGTTTTATAAATTACACTACAAAATTTATTCTATTACATTTATTCTTCTTGTGTTTATATATATATATTTTTTATTTATTTATTTTACTGCATATCAATTTTTTCAAAATTAATAAGGATCATTATTTTGGAATAAATAGCTTTGTTACATAAACGTTTGTCTATAAAAATACTTGGATATTGTACCCGTATAATTCGACGCACGTATACGTATCTGGATATCTGTGTATTTCGATACCCGGGTATTTCGATACACGTGAAGTAGGAATCTCTAGTTAGAATCCTCCGTTTAATAAATCCACTACCAAGTGTAAAGAAAATGTGCTCGATATCGGGGTACCGCTTCCTTCTGTTAAAGGTCTGCTCCGCCGTGGACGATGGCGCACAGGAACCAAAAGTTCCGGTTTTCGCCAGAGAGGGAGAAGGAGCGAGAAAAGTCGGAGAAACAGCAGTACCAACTCCATCAACGTGAGATATACGAGCACAGACAGCAACAGGCGATGCAACAAGCGGAAAAAGAGAAAGAGAAAGAGAAAGAGAAAGAGAAAGAGAAAGAGAAAGAAAAAGAAAAAGAGAAAGAGGCGGCAGCTCAATCGAGCTCCAGCAAGCCAAACTCCAGCCAAGAAGAGGACAAGTCGAACAAGGAGGATCGGCAGGCCAAGAAGAGGAGGATGAAGGAGACCCTGGTGAAGAGGGCCAGGTCCGTGGCCGTGTTCTCGTTGAAGCTGAAGGAGCACAGGAGCAAAGCGGAAAAGGCAGCGCATAAAGCGGAGGAGGCCGCGCTTAGAGAAGAAGAGGGCAGGTGGCACCAATCGCCCACCTGCGTCGGCGGCGAGCTCTCCTGCATCCCCATAGAGAAGCTTATATCCGTGGATGACATCGCAGCCTTGGAACAACGCAGACATAATCATTAGCCGCTTGACGTTTCACTTCCGTTTCACACGCTACGTAGAAACATTCGTCTACGCCAGTGATACTCGCTACGGAACGAATGTTGCAGTGGCGTAACCAGCAATTCCGGAGGGAGAAGGTGACTTTTCGGCGGAAATGTTCGATCCCACCCCCCCCTCCGTGTCGTGTTTAATCTTAGGCAAAGATGAAGTGGTATTTTTAATTTTTCAAGGATACGATGATACCAACAAAACTTGTAAAGCAATAAGTGTTAGATTAAACGAAAAATTTTTGTATGAAAATGTTTCTGGTAACGACGATTATGGAACTTCCCCTTGTATTCGCTGTTTATTAAAGAGCTTCTATCTACCAGAGAGAGAGAGAGAGAGAGAGAGAAAAAAAAAACCATGAAACTTGTACAGTTAAAGAAACAATCAAAGATCGACTGGCCGATTACCTTGGTTTTTTTTTTTTTTTTTTTTTTTTTTTATTGGTTGACGGAAAAGTCTGGCATTTAGTTACGCCACTGGAATGTTGTTGAGTTGCTTTTGTGATACCCGGTCTCGGATCTTGCTCAACATTCGAGGCAAAGTCGATGACAAATTAGAAAGAGAAAGTGGAGTCTATCGTTTGATCTGTCATTTCATTAACGAGATTCACGAGGAGGAAAGGGCATTAAGATCGTTTTTTGGTTATCGTTTTCTTTTCTTTGAGAGACACCTGAGTCTGTTTTTGCCCCACCGTTCTGAAACTATTCGTGGATCCGTCTTTAAACGAACGAATTTTTAACGAAATCGAACTAATGTTTCATTTGTTTATTACGCCGATGTTGTACAAGCAACGTTGGATAAATCCTTCTGTTGTCCATCTGTTTAAAATTAAAACCTATTCCTTCGCGAGTACTATTTTTCACGTAAACAATGAAAACAACGTTGCCCTGCCGCAACGGATGCGTGTACAAAGAGTGGGGACAGCACAGGACGGAAACAAAACGTTTACGATACGATATTATTTTTAATTAAATTTGTACATCAATTGGAAACTCTAATATCAACTTAGCCAGTATAGCAAGGAACGTAACAGTGATCGCGAGACCGATACAGACAAACTCCGGTAATAAAGATCCTGTATCGCTCTCGCGGTCGTAAGAGAATTCTCACTTTCCCTGCCACACTGGCTGAATTTTTATACGACCGAGCATAACGATTGCTACGCGTTAATTGTAATATCAACGTTTAACGAAAAATTGCTCAACTTTCGAGATAATGTACCCTCGGTTTCGCATGGGATTACGATTCGTAAAGTTGACACGGCCTCCGACGGACGGCGCTGCTTTATAATTCTCTGTCGGAACTCTGACCGGAAGTGATCGATCGATCGATCCTGTCGATCATCATCGGGTTTACGCGAAATTCCTGTTCGTGTACCACGTTCATCGATCGCGAGCTGCGAAACGAAACGGATAGTTGAATTTTCGAAGTTCTTTCGGATCCATTTGACAAAATTTCGTGTGAGTATCATTCGCGTACGCGAAACGCGCGCACCGGAAAGCTCACGAGGAACAATGAAAATGCTAATCGGGCGACGCGATCGAGAGGATTTTCTTTCGTGGCGATTAGCAACATTGGGAAAGAAGAATCGACGAGACACGAACAAAATGAAACGGCGCACAAAATAAAATCAGTCACCACGAATTCTAGACGACGTTCTATAGAAAAACAGTTTAGAGTGTCATCGTTTAAGATCACATTTTTTGGTAGAATTAGTCGATACCTCGGCATCGTAGAGTGTAAACTCCGAGAAGATTGTTATTCGATTTCCTTGCGATTCGACGAACTCGAAGAGAAAACAGAAAAATCCACGGCTTTGTACGACGTTTCGCAACGAATAGGTTTCGAATTTGGTGAATTACGCACATTCTTGTTTCTAATCGCGCGACGTAATCGAACGATAAACGACGATCCCACCGTACTTTTCTTTTTTACCGTAGTTGTACATTTCTCGATCGCCAAACTCGACCGCTGGCATGTTCAAACAAAAGAATAAAATACCAAAAGTATTTAATTTCAGTTACTTTACTAAGTAAATTAATTACTCTCTACGAGTACGCCTATCAATTAACCGAGTTGATTGAAATTTTTTCGTTCGATGAAACACCGTACGTCAAAAAGCGACGATACTTTCTTTTTGCTGCTCGATCGAGAAGTGAAGAGAAGGAAAACCGCGAACCCTTGAAAGGAAGAGAATAGCTCGACAAGCGACAAATCCTAGAAACTGTTCTCGCGTGTGTCGCAGTCGAAACGTGAACTCGATCTATGTTTGCATTCGTTAGCGAATGTACATGCAGCAAAAGTGTACATACGTTTTATATGTTTTCTCATTTGACGATTCTCGTCGTAAAACTTGTACAATTTCACCTAGAAATTAACCCTTTCTGAATCTTCCCTAAGGGTAAACAAAACCACGTGGTTGTTACATATCCGCTACTTTACTCTCACAAGAAGTACAGTGGGTGTAGAATGTATTCGTACACCGATCAATTTCTCAAAAAACTTTTCTGTGAAATTGTAGTTTCTCAACTTCTTTTTGTACAATCAATGATATTTTACATATTCTCGGAAGTCTCTAAGATATATATAGTCCGAACAACATTTACTAGTTAATATAATTTGTGAAATTAACAAAAAACATGCGAAAAATGGGTAAAAGTATAGAAGCAATGAGTATTTGTACGATTCTTATGACGAACCATTTACAGTAGAGTTTGTAACGTAAACACATTAGTTTATCGCTCCGTACCAATTAGAAAACATCAAATTTCCAGTAAAGTACTTTTAAAAATGCCTCTAATAGAGGAATGGAAGAAGATCCCACTTCTTATTAACTTCTAACTAATAATTTAGTTAATTTAATGCTTAGAAGAGTTACGATAATTATAAAATCAAAAGGAAATCCCACGAAGGAAGTATTATGCACTTGTAAATTAATGTAAATTTCGTTTTTTTTTTTTTTAATCAAGTTTTAAAAATTAAACAGTTGTGCGAATACTTATTGCTTCAACATTTCTATCGATTAATTCTTTTTTCTCGTTCATTTCGCAACTTACATAAATAGCTATTTCTTTTTTGTAATCTATCTATTCTAGAGATTTCCGAGAATATGTAGAATGTCATTATTTATAAAAAATAAGTTAATAAATTACAATTTTACATAGTTTTTTTGTGGAAATTGATCGGTGTACGAATACTTTCTACATCCACTATATACCGTTCAAGTATACATTCGCCAGTGAATGCACGCGGTTGCAGTTCACATTTAAACTGTGACAATATGCAGCAAATTGTTTCCAATCAGGATAGAGACACGATAGAGATATTTGGTTCCATGGCCTAGCCAACGTCCCCCGTCCGCTGCTAACGTAGCACACCGAGGCACTTTCTTACGTTCAGACTTTTTAACGACCACCGATCCACCGTGACTAGCTGATTAGCGTTATAAATAGACGCCCGTGACGACATTCGAGCACTGTTAAGGCAAAAACCTGTATCGCATCGTACTTTAGCGCGCCCTTTGGGAACCGCATGACTAGAAATCTGCGAAGTCGATAGTTTAGACGCTTTCGTGAGGCGAAGTTTTAAAGTGTCAGCGGAACGCATCTATGTTTGTTAGATGTTTTGTATAAAACAGGAACTGAGCCAATAAAAACATTCTACGAACAAATTAACAGTGCCGTTCATTTGTACCTCTGTACATCGTAAAAATCGATCTTCTGACTGCACTCATCTATTTATTCTATTCACTCGTAATGAGTAATTACATATATTATTAACACGTTGTCTAACAGACAGGTATTCTTGAAAATCTCTGATAGGATTAAATATTATTTAGATTATTGGAGACTACGCAATAAAACATTTATCGTGGTATTTATTTTTCGACTATAAATTGTTTGGTCGCGTAACTAATTCAAATTTCGCGCGCTTTCTAATGTCAACCATATCGCCATCTCGCGGTGAATAGGTGGAACTAAAATTCCGACCTCCGTACAGCGCACCACCGGGAAAACGCCCAAGCTTGTCCTCGAATAGTTCTCACTGTCAACGCTAGATGGCGCCATTTGTATAAGTGAATAATAAATACAAGATTTAAAAGTTGAAAAATGATTTCCATTCATCTTTTAATATTACGATGCTTGTCCACTAATTTGTTTTTGGGTATAATTAGAAAAACAACTGAACATATACCTGTGTCGATACCTGGTGGTGAATAGCCGAACTAATTTTCGGAGTTTTTGTAGCCGATACCTGGTAAATGGTTACTCTTTTATGTGGCTTATCACCTGAACTTTGGCGGAAACTTCTTTAAGGATTCAAAAGAGGATCTCTTTCACCGTCTTTTGTTCCGTTTGTCTTGTATTTTTGTTTGATGTTTGTTAATTAATAAATTGCTTTCTGGTTGTACAATACGTGTGATCACTTATAAAACCACTAATAAAACCACTTATATTCTGAACATGGCTACTGTTAGATGGCTTTACTAAGTAAAAAATCGATAATAATTTCTGCATTAAATAACTATTCACAAGAATGATAAATTTGACTTATTAAGCGATATATCGTAGCGTTACAAAGATAGGAATCGCATTAATTACGGGTTAATGATAAATGGAAAATAATTGATTAAAATATATTTCCAGCGTCATCTTACAGAAACAGTGGGAACTATTTTCTCTACAAACTTGGGAGTTTCACCACCGATGGCGCCACTGTCTAAAATCGGCTTCTGTGGATGCACCCAAAGGTTCTCGCAAAGTTTCGGCTCTTCTAAATTACTCTGTCCCGTATATTTTGTTTACGATAAGTACTGTATCTGTATGTTATTTTGGTAGAACTTGGTGAAATGTGATATAGATTGTTATGATACGTAATAAGAGATTTGTAATTTCAATCGATTCGAATCACCGTCTTATTATCGATAGTTTCTACACTGTCAGTGATTATATTTGTTGACGTTTGAAAAATGATAAAGCATAAGTTGCCGAAAAATTGGATTGTCCTAAATTCAAAGACACATCCGGACAGGGTGTATTACTTTAATGTTAAAACTAACCAGTCTTCCTGGGAACAACCGACGACGGATCAGTCTGAAAAAGTATTGCGAAGTTTTCTTATTATCGGTGTTAATCATAGCAAGCTGTTGAGTGACATTTCATTGATACGTTTAACTTATGCAAATTTGATCTTGTGATCGTGTTTATTTATAACGTTATACATCTATCTCATGTACTTTGTACATAATGATACCTTTCGTTAATAACCTTTTTGTTTCCTTCAACAAATAAGTTTGCGATGGTACCATATGAAACATACACTTTAATTTAAAATGTCATTTTAATATTCAGGTTACAACAAAATTAGGAAGACCTTCTAAGAAACGTAGAACTTCAATTCAAGAAGAAGATACTCCTGTTATCGAGCCTAAGACCCCTGAAGATGATGCATCCAAAAAAGGAATTAGTGAACGGAAGAAACTTGTTGCTAAGAGGACTTGTCAACAGACAAAGGGAAAAACCAATGAAGAGAAAGAGACACCGCAGATGCGAGCAATTCGTGAAAAGATCCTCAAAAAGAAAGAAAAAACTAACATTTTCAAAATACAAAGTCCTAAAAATACCGTAAAGTTGCCAGTTTCAAAGTCTAAAACCGTAGAGTCTCGATCTGAAAGTGACACAAATGAAAAAATAATTTGTACACCACAAATGCAGATACTTCTTGAAAAAATACAAGAAAGAAATTCAAAAGGTACATCTAAGAAAAAAGTAATACAAGAAAGTGGCGACAATAATAATGAGAAAAAGCAGGAAGAACCAATTAAGTCCAGAAGGCTAAGAAGCAAAAGCATGTATAATCAACGGAATACTAGTAGTTCAGAGTATTCGTCTAGTTTGGCAAGTAGAAATGATGAAAGAGGACAGCAGAGCCTAAGTTCTGGTAAGTACATGGTGAAATTATTTTGCATTCTATGACCTGTATCATTTTCAAAGTAGATAAAAAATCATGATTTATATTACATTTAATTGCTGTTATAACAGAGGAGAGTGTGGTAACAAAACAAACAGATGATCAGAGCTCAGTTATAAGTACATCCAAAAAAACAAAGAAAAGGTCCTTTAAGAAAAATCTGGGCAAAGAACGCATGGAAAAATTAAGGAGAAGCTTAGTTCTAGAAACTAATAAAAATGAAAGTTCAGAATCTACCAGTCGTTCATCTGAGACTCCTGCTACACTGAATAAATATGGTAATACTTTTTGTAATGTCTTTTTACTAGAAGCTAAGATTTCATTCTAATATTATTGTGATTACAGTAGAGAAATTACCAAGTATTTATAAACATGCAGAAGTTAGGCTGAAACGTTTAAAGGATAGACTTTCAAAAGATAAGATTTCTATCAATAAAAGTCCATGTAGTGACCCTGAAAAAACTGTGAAGTTGTCAGAAAAGTCTCTAACAACAGTGGATGACTTAGTGAAGCAATCCAATGATGATTCATTTTATGAAGAGATGGATTGGGAACCAATGGAAGATGAAAAAATTACCTTTGAAGTAATTCCATATGGACTAATAAATATTCATATATTTTTTTCTTTTACCATGTTACTAAATAAATTTAAATCACTCAGATCCAGGCAGTCAGGTCACAACTTTGTGCGGATAATAATACGGACCTATCGTGTAGCGTAGTTAACATTTTAAATTGTTCGCCACCATTAGAACAACAAGAAAAAAGGCAACTGTACATTGTTGTCGATACTAATGTATTTTTGTCAAATATTGAAGCTGTCGATTTGGTAAAAGAGACTACCTTCAAAACTTATGATAAACCAGTAATTGTAATACCGTGGACCGTTGTACGCGTAAGTAGTATATTAACAGAATTTAACGCGCCTCGTATGAAACCTTTAAAAGGTAATGTTTTGTTATAGGAGCTTGATTATATTAAAGGCAATTATGGCAAAACAAAACCAGCAGCATTGGTCGCGAAAGCAAGGAAAGCTATAAGTTACATTCACAAACTTTTTTCATCTAAACATCCACGTATTGTCGGTCAAAAGCGGCAAGACGCCGCGAGAAATAAAGAAAAATTTGCGATTAATTGTCCAGACGACGAGATTCTACAGACTTGCTTACAAATCCGAGATTTCGAAAAGTCTGTGGTGAGTCAATGTTTCCATAATATATTTCAATTAATAAATTCAGTTTACTGTTCATGTCCTTATTTTTAATGTAGGTATTATTGTCGTACGATATAAATCTTTGCAACAAAGCAATGATATACGATATTGTGACTCTTGGAAGAAACGATCCTGTCGAGAAAATTGATTACCTTAACGCCACTACTCACGCAAACAAATCGCCTCGCACGGGTAGCGAACAAGATAAAGAAACGTTAAGTTCGAACTCTGTATCGATTTCTGACCAGGAACTGCATTTATCCCACGAAATACTTGATGATGCAAAAAGTAATGTAAAAGAGTTTTTGACAGTGGTAAGTATATCGGGCATAAATAAAATGTATATATATTACGTTGTAAAAGAAATGTTTTTATAAATTGTTTCGCAGATAGTCAGCAAAGAAATGCATGCATTATATGGAGAACCGTGGGAGAAGTATGCCATTGTAAAACCACCTTGGACAATTATAAATGTTTTACAGTGTGCTATTAAACACTGGATAGCCGCTGTAAGCGAATCATTTCTAAGAAAAGGAGAAAATGTTCTAAAAGAATTGTTACAATTATTTAGAAATACTTCTGGTAATTTCGTTAACTATATTGTAGTAACGAGATAACATCTATCATTTAAGGTTTCGAGGATATTTAGCGATATTAAAAACAATCTCTTTATAGGTAAAATAACATTAAAAGATGTTAGTTATATCCTGGATAAATGCAGCGATTTGATTCAGATGGTTAACATGGATAAGCATCCTGATTTGATGATACGAACCTTGCAGAAAATTGATGTAATTAATTTTTAAATTATTTCAATAGCATTATATGAAACTTCTATCATTTATGTTCGTAACACCATTGTTCTTTTAGGAGTTGAAGCAAAGGTGTCGCGATCTCGAATCCCTAATACTCGATCAGAAATTACGCGATGCGATTGGAATTGAAAATGATGTCGCAGAACGGGAACGTAGAGCACAAAAAGCATTTCAATATTTTGAAACGGCATACACCTTTTCTCGTGATATGTGGTAAGGGTTACAATTACATTTTAAACAATACAGTTAAATGTTAGCTTATGTTCACGTTAAGGTTTACATTTACTTTTCACAGCGGATTGGCATCTGAAATAGTGGGAATGCCATGTAGTTTTCCTTACACTATTCCAAACCCGCTTCCAACCCCGGACTATGTAAAGCAAATACAGCCGGATCTAGCGGCTAATGTAAATAGACTATTGCACACACTGAGCGCGTGAGTAATTGATTCAAGTAGTCATTTTCACATGCAATAATTATTGGCACCAGTTGAATTTACACATGGAGAACTCATTTAAGCGATTGTCTCCGTAATAATAAATTTTTATTGCAGCGCAATAGAGCAAGTTAAAGATTCTTGCACAGACTATCGAACGATAAATAATCTACACCAGGCTTTGATAACATTTCTACCGGAGTCGGAGCCACTATCAACGAAGTTAGCTAACGATGACCTAGCGCCTCTCGACGTATACTGTTGCGTGAAACAAAAAGAGGAAGTATTGAAAACTGGTTTGCGCCAATTGCAAGAACTTAGCACGCATTTCTGTAGGCTAGCTAGCTACAGATGTATTTAAGCGTTTGCATATAAATCAGTCAAAAAGCTGAACGAAATTTGGTCGTACTTTGCCTTAAAGTATGCATCGTGTATATTCCGTTAAATAACGTCAGTGTCTTGAGTGTACAGTGTCACGTAATAACTGTGATCTATTCTTCAAACCAGTTAGTCATGCATTTGTAAAAAGAAAAGAAGTATAAATATTTAACAATTTTTTATTAACATTTCTGTACAATACAAGAAGTAACTTTTGTATAATGAGAAAAATAAAAATGCACAGCCAAAATAACAAGCGGTGCTGTATTGTGTTCCCCGATAATTATTTTGATGAAGCACACACCGAGCGTGACTTGAATCGATTTAATTTCTGTAAAGTTTAGGAAATCCTCCGGGAGGTGGTTGTAACCAGTTTTCTTTCGGGTAGTTTACGTTTTTCGTTTCGATCACGTGGAACGTGTACGCGTGCCTCGACTTCTCGCTCTTGTTTGGATACGAGAAATGTACGACTTGTCCGTGAATGAGGACGAGGGTTCCTTTGGGGACTGGCGCTGGGCGGAAGTTGCTGAGTTGGTAACAAGGTGGAGGGCTATCGTAGATTAACAAGTCCTTGGAATCTGGGTCCTTGTTCCTCATGTAACGTCTGTGCACACCGCTTTTATGGGAACCTGGCGCGAACCATAGGCACCCGTTTTCCGTGGTAGCGTCTTCCAAAGCGATCCAAAAACCTACCAGATTCTGAGGTTCGGTGTATAGATACGTGGCGTCTTGATGCATGCTTACTGATTAAACAAAAAATTCATGGGTATTAAGTTTAAAAAAAGTAATGGAATTCGAATAAGATTGTAAAAATTAATTAAACAATCGACGCGTTTAATTATACTCTCGACTCATTCTTAATGTATCTTACTTTCTGCACCGATACCCGGATTTTTGTACAAGTACATCGACTGGCAAATAGCTGGTTCTTGCAGATCCAGCTGGAAAGCTGCTTCTTTTATTCTTTCATCGAAAGAATATTTTTTGAACGTGGGGTGAAGCCAGTGAAGTGCGTGTCCTACCTATGGTTTTGTAAAACAAAAGAAATTTAGGAATGCGAAGTTTAAAGTTCAATGCAAATACTGCGGCGTCGTCGGGTCCTGTCGCGAGCGAGTTACCAACAATTGATTTGTATGTGGTGTTTTCGTAGGTACATTTTTGAGATAATGGTATGTATAAATTATCTTTTCGATATATTTTCTCATGTTAATAACAGATACCTATTGTACCTTCTAAGGATATAATCTGTCGGTGGCGTCGCCATGACAGGACAACAAAGGTCAATGCTTTATCAACTGGTGTTAATAGGCTTTGCCTAGGACAACCAAAATCTATTCTAAATCTGTTATCTATTGCCGATAAATATTTCCCATTACTATATAAATTATGAAATGTTAGAATAATATTAATCAAAAAACGATTTTAATAGATAAAATAAAGATTGAAGAGTACTAATGTCGAATTTAATTGTCCAATCGTCAAGGGTCGGTAAAACATATAATATAGATTTAAATCGTTACCTTGTTTAAACATATTCGAGGATCCACCAACAGTTTCTTGTTAGCATCCAAGGATTTGGGTTCGAAGAACACGCGGATTATGTTGGCGCTGTCCAGGAAATATTGGTCTTTGGTCTGAATGAAATTGTTTTGTATCGGCGGATGGTTTAATTCAGAATCGCCGTCCTGGTCAGTACTAACCTGCTGCAATTCTACCGTACTGAATAGACTTCGTTCATCTTCCGGTGGTAAGTTCTTTGTGTATTCCTCACCACATAATCGCATTTCGTCGACCTCTTCGGGCTTGAAGAAGTCCTCCAAAATGACGTAGCCATTTTTCTGAAACTGTTCAAACGCGAGAAGCATTAATTTCATGGTTAACTATTTATTTCTTTTCAGCTATTGGTTACCAAATAATGGTAATACAGTTTTTCATCTTCGGGCAAATGGTTTAGAAGGATCGTGGCTAGATGGCGCGTCGAGTTCTATATTTTTCGAACTGATCTACTTTCGAAGGCAGCTATTAGAATGGAAGCATTTCAAAAATCCGCAAGTTGTAGGATTTCTAATAAATTCACGAATGGATAGCGAGAAGCATCGAGGCCGCTGTTTGAACGGTTACGAAAGAGCTTTCGAAGATCTAATTCGTGGATATAGTCGCAGCGAATCTGCAGACAGCGTCTCTTGCTTATTCAGCGACCAAATATCAGTAGAAGGAAGAGACCTAGGAGCGTTAGATTATCGCGGGGCCATAGATCAGCCCGCGGAACGTTTCGTGGCGATAAATTATCATCGGCGACGGGTCCCCGGTCTCAGTAAACAGTGTCTGCCTAAAAATACAAGCGCGTTCTAGTCTCGCTGACGCGACACCTTTCCTCGTTGCCCTCCCTCCGGGGTCCGTTCCGTAGTTCTGGGTCGGAATTCGATCCCCGGGTTTTCCGGGTTACTCGGTCGAGTTCTTTATTTTCATTTATTCCCGTTCGTTTCGGTAATTTCTGTTCCTCTCAATTATTCTCGTTGCAGCGTAACGAAACCGGCTACGTACGAGATAACAATTAATGGTGAGAGATGATAAAGTTGTCTATGTACAGTAAACAATTCCTCCCCCTCCAAAGGTCAGGTCGAGCAGCGTTCACCAGAAATAGGTACAAGTTCAATCCAGATAGAAATCCGGATGATAAGCTCCGTATTTGTTTCGAACGATTATCGGAATTCGGAATCGTGGAACGATAGTGGACGAAGTTATTTTTAAATACAAAAAATTGCGACACACGCGAACGTTCTTTCGAATGCCCTTAAACTTGTCGCACAGAGAGTCGTTCGTTCGAGCAGTAATAATTTTCAAATGTGCACCTCTAATATCTATAAAAAATACGAGCTTTCTATGCGACTGAAAGCTATTTTTGTTGAATTTAAAATGATACTTAATTTAAGGACTAGGCAAAATTGACGAATCATTCAGACTCATCTTCAGAATTTTTTTATTTACTATAATATATACAGGGCGGACCATTTTAAATTCCCCAGTAGAATTTCTCAGAAACTATACGACTTAGCGAAAAATGTTTCGAACAAAAGTTGCTCAATTTCGAGATGGAAATATTTTCATGACGTTGCCTTTGACCTTGGAGGTCACGTTCAAAGTCATTTAAAGGTCAACTTTGTTATTTTAAATAGAAACCTCTATTTTTGACCCCTATTTTTGGATTTAGGAAGAGCGGAAAATTCTACGTTCATATTTACATACTGGAAGTACAGGGTGTTCCAGAATATAAGATTCGTAGTGTATGAATCGTCTAGCGGAAACGATTCTGAATAACAATTTCGTTTGCGAAAATGTCGCGCGGCGGTTCGTTTTTGAATTATTAACGAAAAACCGCCGACCAATCGCAGCGGCCGAGTAGCGCGCGCTAGGTCACGCGAGCATAGACTCGAGCCAGGATTGGCTGGCCACGCCCAGTCGCAGTGTGCCAGCCGAGCGCGCGCTACTCGGCCGCTGTGATTGGTCGGCGGTTTTTCGTTAATAATTTAAAAACGAAACGCCGCACGACATTTTCGCAAAGGAAATTCTTCTTCAGAATCGTCTCACCTAGACGATTCTTGCACTACGAATCTTTTCTTACACTAATTCTGAGTCACTCTGTACAAGTATTCACCGAATAGACAGATGTTTTTTTCCTAAATTTTTTATATCAATTTCTGAAAATCATGAAATACAACATCAATTTTTCCATGAGTAAATACATCCTCCTTTGAATCTCTGTTCTTTGTAACGCGTATCTACCGCGTTATAAGAGCATTCGAGTGTGCACCGTTCGCGAGTCGGATTTTCACATGTCCGGGAACGTAAAAGAAACGGCAGAAACGAGAGGGTCTGTAAGTGTTTGAACGCGAGCTATAACGAGAGGGAGAGGAACTTTTAATGAAGAGACGTATATAGAGCGGAGAATACGCGTATTAATCTTTTCCCGTCGGCCAGTGGAAGGCGCGCGTCATTTTAATTGCTCCTCGATGCCCCACCGTAATTACAGATGCGCCGGGAGACGAGAGAATGCAATATTAATTTTTTTCACCGCGTCAGAATTTTCGTACGGTCGATGTAGCTGACGTTTCAGCTGGGTGGAATTAATTTTTCGTACCGGAGAAATCACTGTAGTTCGACGGGCAAAAGTTCGCGCGAAAATAAAAATAACGAACGACGAATAAAAGACGAACGACCTTTTTGTTTCCGGCTCGTTGGTTAACGAGAATAGTTCGATGGTAAGATTTTTAAAAATTCGTAAGAAAAAGCGTCTCATTTTTAACGTTTTAAACGAACGATATATTTCGCAATAAGAAGAGTAAAGAAATATTTTTTCTAGCGTTCCAAGGTGGAAGAGCGTTAGAAAGGGCTCTCATTGGATGAGATGAATAAACTGTAATCGATAGTCCCGTTCCCTGTCGCCCGTTGTGAAAAGTTTTGAAAAATATTGAACTTTCTTTCCCTTCGCTGAAACTTCCAGACAGATTACCTTTCTTCATTTGTCGCGGAAACTTGGTTCTTTTCATTAAGAATGAAAAGAATTTAAACGTAATTAGCCTCTCCCTTCATTGTCCCATTACTCGTCCTAACCACGATGAAATCCTGACAGCTGGAATTTATTAAGTACAGCACGAAAATACGGTAAACAGTTGATTCGTTTAAAAAATTGAACGGATCGCGGATAAATCGTCAACGATCACAATTTAATTAATTGTACGTAATTAATTCAGAATCGAGAATTAACGCGAGTGTACGTACGTGAAATTGATGATAGATGAAAAAATAAGTTAATGGATCTTCCAGTTGGACTCTTCAGCGAAGCTTTATCTAGCGTACTCAATCATCATTAGTCTCCCTTAATTAAAAGAAGTGTCTTACTTTACTTCTTCGGAATAATTAATGTTACTTCAAAAAAAGAAAGAATTGCCTCGGTGGAAAAAAAATTGCTCCCTGTTCCTTTCAAATAATCTTTTGTTAACACCGTTTGGAATTCTTTTTTCTCATAAAACACCGAAGAATAAAATTCTAAATCATTTGAAAAGCCCTTTATTCATCTACCTATGTTCGAATAAAAATATTGCGAAATTAATGAAAGATGAATAATCTTTTATTTCCTACTCGTTAAATAACAGAGTTCGATATTCGCGAGTGAAATATTATATTAGATAGCATCGATAGATTAAAATTCACGATTCGCACGTAATATTACACTTTCGTAAAAAAACAGCTGCTTCTCTGCGAGTGGTAGTGTACGCGCCTGAATCGCGCCAGTATTTCCGAAGAGGTTTAGTTCGCGTGGGAGGGGTTCGTAACGGTCGTTTTCTTCGTCCAAGTGCGAACGTGATAACGTACGTTAGGCTTCCCTTGGGCGCCTAATCGTCACCTTAACCGAAATCTAAAAATGGAACCTCGCGTGGCGGCAGGGACGAACGATGGTCGTAGAGTCGGACCACGTGCACCGATTGCTTAGAATAATCACTAAGTTGATGACTTTCAAGGTACCCTTTCAAGGTTTTTCTTCCTCGAAGACAAAATTCGCCCGCGATGGTTTTCGAAATAATAAAATAGAATGTTACTGGTCTCTTAAGAGTGATCAGCGAGTGTTTTATTTGTGTAAGATATTATTTCTTGGTAACATAGAAAAAAAATGAAGAAATACGTGATTTGTTTAATTAGACGAGCTATGTTATACAAGGAATATTTATTGGAAAAGTGTTTTTTCTAGCTGTGGGGTCACCACTTGGAATCTTCGAAGCATTTGACTCAACTTGCATTATCATAAAAAAACTAGACAAATTTCATTTGTAACATTTTTTTCTATCTCTCTTTGGTTTCAAGTTATTGTACCTCATAGTCTACGAGCTCCGATTTTTCATGAACACTTAAACACGAATTTAATAACATCGTCGAGACAATTCTTCTCTTTCTCAGAGAATATTCCTCAAAACCACGCGAAATTATATTTTGCGATTCAAATACAACATTTTTGATAAAGTTCTCGCGACAAAGTTAATTTGTCGTTAATAATAAGGTGATCGAAAAATAATCAAAATTTGTTTGCTGGCGAAAAACATTTAAGAAATCTCAGATACTAACCAACAAAATAATTTCCATAATTTTCTAACACGTTTTGCCAGCGTAAAGGCAAAATAGTCCTTTTAAAAAGAATTTCCTTTTTAGAATAGTCCTTCAATTTTATATCGAAAAACTGTTCCAAGTCGATTCCCCTGATATAACGTTAACGATTCTCGAAATTCGAAGAAACCTCTGAAAGTGACCTAACAGAATCGCGTAAACGCGTGAGTGGCTCACCTCTTCGCGTATGTCCCTCATTTTCTCAAGTTCGTAGCTGTTCTTGCGCCGGTCGATCGGGAATCTCCTTTCGCGACAGTGTGCTTCCACGAAATGATTTTTCGTAAATGACCGAGTGGTCATTTATAGGTGAGCAGGAGACCGTCGAACGAAAGCACGATTAGGATCGAATCGAGTCAGGTCATGTCGGGTCGAGTCGGAGCGGTTTCGAGCGGATTCGGGCGGGCTCTCAGGCGCCATCGCGTTTCTGGAATCGTCGGGTTATCGTGCTGGAAAGTTTCGCCGCGAGTTTTAGGTGGAATTCAACCGAAAAATTCACTTTTTACTCCGTGGCATTAAAATTCCGTTTATAAATGTTTATCCTCGGGAGAAGAATATTTATCGCGGGGGCTATTTTCGTAAGAGGGAATAAGAAATATCGTTGAAAAGGGCAAACTTTTATGGTTCAACAAAAATTGGTCAAAGTATGGATGATCTCTGCATCTTAACAGACGCATAATTAAAAATTCTTTTGCTGAGGTAGTTTTTAGTAGAATGAAATCGATATTCATGAGAACTGTTTCTGGAAAAGAATATTTATCTCAGGGACTATTTTCATGCTCGAAATTCGATTTTTCTCGAAGAAGTAGCTTCACGATGAAACAAAAAATATAGTTAAGAATGCGAAACCTATGCGACACTCCAAAAAAAAAAAAAAAAAAGTCAAACTGTGTACGTATAACAAATGCAACAAGAGAAAAATTCTTTTCCAAACGTAGCATTTAATAACACCTGATCAAACTGATCAATATTTACGAAACCTGTATCCAAAACAGAATATTTATCTCGAGGACCATTTTCACCCTCGAAATTCGATCTTTCTTCCGAAACTGACCTCACGAGTAAACAAAAAATATAGTTAACAATCACGAACCTCTACGATTCTCCCCCGAGAACAATCAAAGTGCGCACATTCATCGAACGCCGAGATAAAAATTCTTTTTCGAAAACAGCCTTCAATAAAAATCGATAAAAACCGGCGGGTCATGTAAACAATTTACGTCGAAGGCCCGTCGATTTCTCAAACAACGACGAAACCAGAAAAACGACGACGTCGAAGGCCCCCGTAAACGGCCGAACGTGTCGCAACGCGGTAAAAATTCCACTCCTCGGGGGTACAAAAGTGATCGATTCATCGGAGAGCGGGTCATACCCGTTCGGTACGCGGGCCACGCCAGGAGTATGCCTGACCTGTTCGCATCGCGAGGTCGGGCTCTCGATTATGTCAGTCTCGCTCTGTTACGACACCGTCCCGATCGAGTCATCGAACGGCGAACAAGTCCATTGGTCTTTCTTCTCTGATTTCGTCGACCTCACGCTGCGAGACGCCGCAACGCGTCGCGATTCGCTCTCGTACGAGACCGTATATAGCCCCTCTCGAACCTTCGTCGGCGTCGCTTCAATCGCCGTCGCGGTTGGTATCGATCTAAGGGTCACTCTATCGACGTGCCAACAAATTACGATTTACTTTTTTGCGCAGAAAAAGAGAGAGAGAGAGAGAAGAAGGAGAGGAGCCCGCTCGATAGGAAGCTGGTAAACAAGACGACGCGGCCAAAGTAAAATTTCCACTATTCCTGTCAACGAGTTCTTTGTGAGAACTCTTCCCGTGGACTTTAATATCCCGCGATTAAGAGATCAATTACGACACGGTGCGAACGCTTTCGTATTTGTTCGCACGTAGCGCGAGGGATCGGCGGTACGTTCAGTCGCGTCCCGTGTAGGCTGTGATAACAATAGTGGAAAAAATTACGGAGACGTCGTATCGGCACGTAGCGACGGTTCGATGAAATTATGGCTCCCACGTAACGCGCCACGTAACTGGCACGACTCCGATAACCGAGTAAGTAACAAGTTTAGCGACAATTGGTTCGCACGAATTCCGTACAAGCTCGCGGCTGCCCGACGATTTCGCCCGTTGGGTTTCTCGTTCGCGAATGTAAATTCAACCCTTTCGACTCGACTGTTCTCCGTTTGAATTCGACTCGGTTCCTTGACCCATTGGCAATTTTCGGCGGACTCTGTGATTCCAGAATCTATTTGCAGCGATGAATTGACCGTGTTAATTAATTGCAAAGTATAGAATACGTGTAGAATTTAATGTCAGCCTGGATTGATATTTCTGATTCGAATCTTTTCTGTTTTTTAAACTGTTTCTAGATCGGTGAATAAAGTATTAATCAGATCAAGCCAGTTTGGCTAGGGTTGGCTGTCGGTCGAAGGACGTTGCCAGATAAGAAGAGACAATTTGTTTCTCGACACAGATAATTTTTTTTAACGTATGTTTCGAGTCTCAGTTGTAATTAAGCTACCAGATATATATACTCTGGGGCATACAGACACTCCTATAAATATTCATACTTTCATACAGTCAGTGTAAGAAGTGTACAGCAACTAATTTAAAATAAAATTAATAGGAAAAGAAATAAGAGGTTATTATTAAAAACAATGAACTTCAATTTACGCAAATTCCTTTGAACTTTATTATTAATATAAATATATGAAGTTTTTTTTAAAATTTGTTCCTGTACGAATATTTATTACATTGACTGTATGTCTATTAAAGGAATCTGTCTAAATTAAACGACAGGTTTGATATTTACAAATAAATGTCTCGTTATAAATATACACGCAAATAAATTTTACTCTTGTTTGTATTTATAAGGAAATATTTATTTGAAAATCTCAAACATATTTAATTTAGACAGATTTCTTTAAGAGACATAGAAGGTACGAATATTATAAATATGTGCATGAATAAACTTTACTCTTGTTCGTATTTATAACGAAATATTTATTTGAAGATATCAAACCTATCGTTTAGACCTAAAATATCAAACTTATCGACAGATTTTTTTAACAGACGTAGAAGGTACGAATTTTTATGGGACTGACTGTATACGTCTGACTAGAGTCGAAATAGTTAAATATTTCAATTGGAGTCATGTATAAATTAATTTTACGTTACGTATAGTCCGGAGCAACGTTGCTTTCTGTGTTTTTCATTTGCTCGTGCAATGTTTCAGCCACGCTACGTGAACTCTTTCGGGTAATTGATGTTCAAACTCAAAAAGCGAAGAGGAAAAAAAAGAGGCAGCAATGGAGGAAAGAGGAACGAGAGAGGATCAAAGCAAGTACCTTACGCGTGAGAAGAAATTTAAATTAGGTGACGTTTTGCTGTAATGCGATGAAATTTTATCGTCACCATTTACAATTTATGCTGATTTAACACATTGATTAATTCTGAATGTTGAATATCAAGGAAAATAAATTTGAACGCAATTCTTGAAGTTACAAAAATAAATACCACGATAAACGTGTGATTATGTAGTTTTTAGTACTCTGTAAACAAAATTTGATCTCAGTAGAAATTTTCGTGAGTATTAGTCTGCCGGGAAGGGTATGGAGGCCCAGTGGGAGGTACGTATACGGATTGCAGTTAAAGAAATTATTTATTTCCACGTGATAAACAGGTAAGCGACCTTTCGTGTCTTAAGATTCACTTCTGGGTGAAGACAATAAAATATTTAATATGTTTCGTCCAGTAATAGTATTGTTGATACTCCAATCTGGTAGAATCAATAGAAATCATTTCATGAATAATAATAAGAGTAATTGTACATTCAACGACGAATTTCTTACAATTTAGATTTAATTCAAATTTAAAAAAATGTATCCAGAAGCCTCTTCCACTTTTAAATTGTTAAAAAATCTATTTTCAGAATCTCTCGAATAAATTCAACATGGCTGTTCTCAGAAGAAAGAAAACATTCTAAAAATTGGCTAAAACAGCTGGGAATCACGCACGAAACCGAAACGGATGACTGCTGGGCCGCGTCATTACTCGGAACGCCGAGAAAAATGAAAACATTTATAAATCACAAGTGAAATATCGATCGTGGTCGCGCGGAGAGCCCGCGCGAATAACTCCGAAGCTGCGTCATCGTCAGCGATGTACAGAAAAGAGGAAAGAATTTTTAGAAGTTCGCGAACAAGAATTAAATCTGTATCAGCCAGCTCAACGTAATCGCCCACGAATTCCTCCGGAAGCGTTTTCAAAATCGGTGAGATCATTGCCAAGAATCACGAAACGAAAGAAGAGCTACGAGTAACTGAACTTCCTACTCGATATTGCGAAACGCGTCTCGTCGTTGCAGAGGGTGAGTCACCCGGCCAGCTTAAATCGTGAACTGTTTATCGCGTGAAGAATTGTTTCAAATAAACGTCACAGGACGTCGGAAGAGACGTACGATGTATCAGTTATGTTCCTCGTTTGTCAAGATATATACGTAGGCCGCCTTGAGTCATTTAATTGGAACATCTTCAATTTTAATCTTCGTTTTTCTATTTCGGTGAAAACGACGGTTCGAATAGTACGTTTAAATTTAAGCGGAATTTAAAATTTAAAATTACAATTAATCCCTGGTTCGAATTTATTTCATTGGTTTGATTATTAATAGGTTGGTTATGTGGGTCTGTTTCGTATATGTGCCATTGAATGATCGCCGATAATATTTTATAGGATTCGATTCGTATAGGTTCTACGTAGGATTGTAAACACTTGCACTTGGAAACTACCGTGGTAAGGCTAGGTTTGTTCCTTCGCGTGTCGTAACGATAAGGTTCGTAAGGCTACAATACAAATGACAAAATTGTCATGCAAAGTAAGGCACGTTTGGGAAAGAGACACGGGTCCACCTTTTTCTCAAAAATATATCAAGAATTTTTCTTATAAAGTATATATCTTCATTTCTAATCAAAAGCTTAAATATCATGGCAGGATACTGGCACACCGACACGACGATGACTAGTACGCCTACAATCGAACACTGAAACATTTTGCCCACTTAAGAATTCAAATAAAAAAATAAACTCTCAGAATAACAAAAAAATTCCCAGGTATCGTTTGCACTCAATAAAATGCTTCATCCACTCACACTATACTCGACACCATATATACAGAATTTTCTATTTGCACCCAAACTGACTATTACGAAGAAGATGTGTCACCTAAAGACGCCTAAATGAAAAAAAAAAAAAAAACGCAGAGAAAGAAATACCCTTCAATAAAACCTTCAAATCGCTTCATAAAATTTCCCCCTGTCAATTATTCCATTCCCTCATCGCACAGAAATACCGCAACAATTACAATCCTATTATAATTTTTCCTATCTCTTTTCTATCTCAGGAATCATTGTCAAAATTCCTCGAGTTTAAGCGTCGCGATTCCACGTGGTCGGCGCGCAAACACGGGGCCTTGACTTTTGCCCGTAATAAACGTAACGGGGTCGCACGAATGCTGCGGGTAAGCTCACCTGCGACCGGATGTCCTTCATTCTATTACGTCCGTCGCAGCTGTCTCGTGCTGGTCGGTTGAATCTGCTTCGCACAGCCGAGCGCACTCGTGAACGCGTCCGCGACTGAGTGCTCGCACTGAGTGACTAGGTGAGCTCGTGGCGCGAGGCCCGACTCGCGTCAATTCGGGTCGACTCGGGTCGACTCGGGTCGAGTCGCGGCCGATTCGAATTGAATCAAGTCACGGCGCGCGCAGACGGTTCCATTTGACTCGAGTCGATTCGAGTCGCGCGCAGACGCGCGGCGACGAGCTTCTCGATCTCCTGGAGCCGTCGGGTTCTCGCGTTTGAAAACCGCATTTCGACGCGGTTGAGTCACCGTGAGTCACGTCGTCGATGCGTTGCGCGACCGAAAGTGGACCACCGCGGGCAGAGACTCTCTTGAGCGGCATAAAAAGTCACGGGAGGAGAATAGCGAGCTCGTATTTTGGAATTATTATCCGTGGGCTGTTTTAGGATTATCGATATTTTGTGTGAAGAAATTGTGTGCCATTTATTTTAGAGTTAATTGTCTCGAATTTTTAAACGGAAAGATATATACATAACGGAAAAATTTGACTAATCGGAGCAGCCCGGACGAGGGAAGCTGTTCGAATATTAATTTGATTGCTCGCATATTTTTCAATAATCCGCGTAACATAATTCGAGCAGATATTGCCTCGCTGGTTAATATTAACTTAATTTCTCGTTAGTTACCAGTGTTATTCCCGCGTTTTATTCCAGACAGATACTCGTTAATTTCTGTATTCCTTCTTTTTATTATCCTTGAATTATTTAAATTTAATTCAAATGTACTTCATTTAAATGTACCGGTTAATTTCAACGGAAGTAATATTTTACCTTGCCGCGACTGACACATTATCATTACGGCACTGTTATTAAACCGTTATTATTATTGAAATATCCGTTCGCTTCTTTGCCCCCCGGCTGCACGTCAAACACGATTCAAAGAAGTGTCGCTCGTTGAAATTTTAATTCTCCGTTCCCGCGACTTTGATATTCAAATTAAATTAAATTTCGCGAAACGTTGCAATTCCGTTCCAAAAATTTCGTCGCCTAATCGCGATCGAGGCGACGTTTACATTTTACCGGAACTCGATCGCTTTTCGAATTCCCTCCCTGGAATCGTCTTCCCGTTTCACGACAAAGCGGCTCGCGCACTTAAACGCGACACGATCGTGCCGAACCCTCGCGAACTTTCCTTCGCTCTTTCATCGGCTTAATTCGACCGGCCACCGGTGAACTTTCGAACTCCAATCTCACTTGCTCTCGCTTAAAAGACACTCGGCTACCTTCGTGTTTAATTAAAAAATAGAAAAAAAAACAAAAAAGAAGGAGAGGGGAAAGTTTCACTCGACTCCGAAAGCAGTTTCAACGAAATATTCAAATCCCTATCGATTAACCAAGGAAGTTCGCTTGACGAATTTTCGCCGCGGGACCTGGGGAATCTTGCATTCGAATCAGGGGTGGTTTAGCTGATTTTTCTAATTTGGAATAGGTATTCGGGAAACTTGGGGATTTGAATGTTTGGTAAACGAGGGATGAATGCTTGATTGGAAAAGTATTATTCGAATAGGAGTTTTGTAGAATTCAGAATATACAGGGTGTTCCGGAATTAGTGTAAAATTGGGAGGACGGTTGGGGAGGGGGGGGGGGGGGAAGGAGAGAAGTAGATGAGAGGATTTTTAACTACAATTTCCTTTACAAAAATGTTGGATGGAGCTTCGCTTTTGAATTATCGAAGAAAAACTGCTGACCAATCGCAGCACCCGAGTAGCGCGCGCTCAGCCGCGTGAGCCTGCGATTGGTCGGCGGTTTTTCCTTCATAATTCAAAAACCAGGCCTCATTCGAAATTTTCGCGAAGGAAATCGTTGTTCAGAATCGTCCCAGCTACGTTCCATTTCCGGTTCTCACACTAATTCTGCGACACAATTTTATGTAGTAAAATTTGTTAGGAGAATAAAGAAATTGGTTTACGATCGTGTTCTTATGAAACGAGCGACATTATGTGGTGTAATAATATTTATCAGCGAGCAGAATCATTTTTTCCTGCATTCTCGGACTGGAATGAAAAGACTCGGGGTTTTAAAGGGGGCGGACAAAGGGAAGTTCGTTTCAAAAATCTCATTTTATTGGGTAACTCGAATGGAACGTTTTGTCGCTGAGAAAAAAAGAGAACGTAAACGATTATCGCGAGGACATAAAACCGAGCGAACAGAGTCGATGGTTTTCCGAACCCTTGCGCTCTTTTCCCGACGCAAACACGAACTCGGTCGTATTTTCTACGAAATTTCGATCAATAAATTAGTTTCAGTTCCGATCCAGTTTCTTTACAATTTTAAATAAATAAATCGTCTATCGATTTATCACGAACTTGAGATCCCGTCGCGTTTTCAAATCCGGGACGTGATTTATGAATCAGCTTGTATTTGTGAGAACGAATCGTTCCGCGCGGCTCTTTCGCGTGGGCTTGTCGTCGTCATCGGTCCGCAATCCGGGCGCCACGATTATCAACAAGTTCGCTCGAATCTCAAAGAAGAGCTGCGATCGTTGGAAGAGCATCCCCGAATATCCGCTTCCAGTGATCGGTTCCGAAAATACATCGAACCGTGACCGAACAGTCGGAGCGTCTGCAGAAAACCCGATCGCAACGAGTTTATCACGTATTTCAAACAACGCAGTTCGCACGTGAACGAACACCTTGTCTCACCATATTTTTTATTTATTTCACTCATTTTGTGCTCGATTACTTTAAGCCAGTCACCGCCACGGTTTATCGGGGGAGGTGAATCTTCATCGCAGAATTTATTTTGCAGAAAAATTTTGTAACGAAGATTGGTTAGCTTTCGAGTCGAAGGTTTTTCATATTGGAGCAGACATGGATTTTATCAGTCGCAGATAAAGGCATCGCGGAAGTTTAGACGTTTCCAGACGGTCAACTACTCATAAAATCGATCGGTCGTTTCGATTACGGGCGTGTTTACGTACAGAGATCAACGAACATCTCGGCTCTGTTCCGTGCAAATAGCGTCCGCAATCTTGTACTGTTTGCCGGTCATTTGGTGCGTATGAACTCGCCGGGATTGTCTCGGCTATCACGGCAAACCGAAAAATACGATAACATCCTGACAAACTGTACCGTGATCACGAAATAATCGTCGATTAAGGAAAAGCGTGATTTCGTGGATGTTTTTCTTACAAGATATAACATTTTCAAATATTTCTTCTTTTTCGCTTCTCGTGCAAATAAGCACTGTTATAATTCCAGAAACTGAAAATGATCGATCTCTCGCTATCTTAACAACTCGATGACTCTTTAAATCGGGCGAAAAAGTACTCTTTTTCAAATCTGAACCTTCATAAAAGACACCAAAGCCACCTAACCCAGATCTAACTCGGACCTAACCCATTCTTTTTTTTTTTTTTTATTACGTGAAGAATGCATTTACGCACACCCCCTCGATTAACGAAGGGGGTAGATCTAACCCAGACCGCTCTTTCAAATAAAAATAATCGCGAGACCCTCCCTTACTTTCCTGTCATTAAAAAAAATGTCTAAGTGCGACAGAGCGTATTTCGGCACATTCCCGAGCGTTGCGACACGAGGAAGGCAGCTTAGGCGGATAGAATCGACGGGAATAAAGTCAGCGGTTGCCATTTGACTGCTGGCCAAGACAGCCGGTCGCCTTAGTTTCTTTTTAGACCGTAAGGCTTAGCCGTTGCTGTGTTATTGCGCTATTAACTGCCGGGTGTTGGTCTTCCTGGCGCGAAGGGAATCGCAACCCCTTTAGCGATACACGGGAGGGTACGCGAGACTCTGGATAACCCGACACGGCCACACGTCGCGGAATAATCCTTGGTAGACTGCCAGGTGTTTCCGTTCTTTAGCGAGACTTAGCGGACGACACCATCTTTCGAGTAAAAAACTACCGATGCTTGGGGAATATATCTGGCGACGCCACAGGGGCCGATATGAATGTTTCACGTGTAAATTATTACAATAACTTAATCTTTTAAAAGCTTAAAATACATAAATATATATAAATGTTTAGCAATGTAAAATTGGAAATTGAAAAATTCCATGTACTACTTAGAATATTCCATGGATATTTACATATTTTTTTTATGTTTATTTGTATATATACAGACTTATTTATTATATTAATTATACGTACACAAAAATTATACATGACACCATGAGAACCAGAGTAGCCTAACTGGAAAATTATAGTACTGAGTTACAAAGAGAAATTCGAAGCTATGATTTTCATTTAATTATTTCTATGTTTGCATCCTTTAATGATCGAGGAAATTAAACATACGTCACTTTGATTTTATTTCAATTTAAAAGAAAAATGTTACTTAGGCTTATATATGAACGAATATATATATATGAACTATTTCAAACAGTAACTGAAATGTTTCAATTTCCACTTTTCCACTGTGTTGTTCAGCCAAGAAAAATAATCGAAACGCGAACAATCCACTACGTCTGCCCAATCTTTCCTCACATCCTGCATATTAAACAAAGACCCAGCCTAGAAAAGTGATCAGCAAATTTCCCAACAATTTAACATTTAATTTCAGCTGGTTACGGATTTTCCTATTTTTCGATGTGTCAGTCTCGCGCAAATGGAGTTTCCAAAAAATTCCCGGTCAACAAGCGACTCCGGCGAAACGAGTCGATAACATAAATTGAATTCGATGAAGGGAACAAGGGAGGAGCGAGGGGGAGTGACGTTGATTTAATTATTCGGATTAATATCCTGGCTAGTAACGCGATTTCTAAATTACATTCATTGACCGGCAACTATGGGAACGCGCGGTATTTCGCGGTGAATGTTATTACGACGATGTCGACGAGGATTCGCCCGTTAAATGAATTTAACGTTGCGGCGAATTTAAAATCGACCCCCGTGAATGTAATTTAAAAATCCTGGTCGAATGCGGTTTTTTTTTGTCAAACCTGGATCGGATCTCGAAAATCGTTAGAAATTCAGATTATTGGTCGCTAGGTGCCTAGAATCTAGGAAAACATAAAAAAAAAATAAAAAAAAAAATACACATAGTGTACATCGAATATATTTTCATATTAATGTAACGATATGTACAGGGTGGACCATTTTAAATCCCCCAGTAGAATTTCTCGGAAACTATAGGAGTTAGCGAGAAATGTTGAAATTGAGCAACTTTTGTTCGAAACACTTTTCGCTAACTCCTACGCTTTCCGAGAAATACTACTGGGGAATTCAAGATGGTCCAACCTGTATATATGATAAGGAAAGCCACGTTACATAAACGCTATTCATTCAAACTAACTTTGCGAGATTTATTACAACCTTGGTTCTTTCCCACTATACGGATATTGATATCCGAGTGGATAGATCGTTCCTCCTAACTATACAGGGTGTCCCAGAAAAACTATAAAAACCGGAAATGGGCGGTAGCTAAGACAATTCCGAACCACAATTTCCTCTGCAAAAATGTCGTACGGCGCTTCGTTTTTGAATTATTAACGAAAAACCGCCGACCAATCGCAGCGGCCGAATAACGCGCGCTATGTCGCGAGAACATAGGCTCGAGCCAGGATTGGCTGGCTACACCAGGCGCTTCGAGCGAGTTATTCGGGATCCGGCGAGTTTTTATTTGAAGAGGGGCTCGCGTTGGAATTTTATTTAAATAGATTTGTGAATTTCTGAGGATACGCTGCGATCATTGAAAGTTGGACGGCTAGGGGTTCCGGGGGGGAAGGGTAGCAGCCACGATTTAACGAGCAGCAACCGGAAGCAATTCTTGTTTGTACGGTAAGAGGAATTGGCGAGCGACGAATTCGAGAGGCAATAAAATGAACGTTGAGCGCATCGTGCTCTAAAAATTTGCGGCACTCCTACGTATATACACCTGTGCGGTGGCGATCATGCTGCAAAATCGACGCAAGCTATCTAGGTCGACGTTCTATAGACGCTCGGGGAGAAATTGGCCGGGCACGAACGCGGCCAAATTAATACAATCGTCGACGAAATTGAAAAAAAGTTTTAATCTCCATTTTCGTGGGATCAATATTTGTTAATTCTCCAAATTGTTAATGTTCCGTAAAGCAAATATTGGATGTTGCTGCGCTCGGATGTTATTGCGCGATACCTCTGAAATAATTAAACGTTTATAACGCATGCGGTAACATTTAATTTTCGGTTGTACGTTAATAACAATCGCGGTTAAGAATAAGTAATCATTGGAGATGGTAATCGTGAGAAATTCTGTATTTTAATATCTATCGATTGGAACAATTAAAACTTGACATAATTAGAAGTTTGTGATGCATACAGGAATGTTCAGTCTTCGATTTAAATATTAATAACAATTATTTTTGATCTGGAGATTTTCGTTTCAATTTTAACATTTGCGTTTAATTATCAGGAATTTTAATCACTTTTGATGTACATATTTTCGTTTCAGTTTTAACGTTTGCTTTTAATTATTAGGAATTATTATTTATCGAGCCTTGGCCATTCTATATTAATAACAATCACTTTTGATTTACAGATCTTCGTTAGAGTTTTAACGTTTGCTTTTAATTATTAGGAATTATTATTTATCGAGTCCTGGCCATTCTATGTAGAATGTCTATAACTGTATTTTTCTGCGAATATATACTAAATGAAAGGTTGGATCGGTCTCTTGTGCGCTCGTGGTCTGTCCAGAACGCATTCGTCCGGTATTGCAAGATGTTCAATATTTCTCCAAAGCGGTTTCAGTTGTCCCCCCGGTCTTATTGTGAGACGCCGTTCTTCTTGTTTGCATGGAAGCAGCAGTAACAACCTATTCCGAAAGTAAAGATCCTGTTTGTTCCGGCTGAGTCGATTGTTTAAGGAAGATACGGAAGGTAGGATTTTCCAGAAGACAAGAATGAAACGTCTTAAAAAGCAATATTTTAACGTCGCCGGGATAGGAGATGCAAACACTGTTAAGGGTGTCACTCGATGACTCGAATCATCGTCAAACAGTCCTATCTGGTTGTTTATTTTACGGAGAAAACAAAATTAGAGAATAACGTTACAGAAAATTCCAAAAGGTTGTTCAATAACGTGTATAATATTTTTGTTGCGATTAGAGAGAAGAGGAATCCCTAAAAATTGAGGTAAAACTATTGTTAATAATAGAAGTGATTTTAAAAAGTTTTAAATATAGTACACGGTTCTTTGCTTTGTTCTTTCAGTATTAATATTATTATTACCTTTATGTATCTATAGGAAATTCGAATGTACAAGAACCTACGAAATGCAAACAATATGCAAGAATATAAAAAAGTTTGAAAGTAAAGTTCTTGTTATAATATCTGCAGAATAAAATAAATTCCTATTTAGGTTCAATTTTTCTAGGCATTTGTGACAAGTGTAAATATACGAAAATATACATATATATAAAAAAGTAAAATACACATTATGACATTCAGAGATTCGATCAACAAACCATATTTTTAGTATATGAAAATATTAATTTGTGCAAACATCCTCGGTGTAAATATTCTAACGTACGCTTCCGCTGTCTCTTTTTCGTGTTTCCATCAGAAATATTATCTCGCCGCCCCTCTCTATTCGATATAAATTCCCGCGCCATAAATCTGGCGATTCGAGGACGCCCGGGAGCGTTTCATATTCGTCAGGTAGCGCGGACACGGGACTGAAACGGAAATCCGCGTGACACAATTTTAATTTCGCCGGGATCACGAGGGGTTAATGGTCCGGGTAATAATTCGCGATCCCGTCAGGCGTTGATTAATCACGATTACGCGACGCACGGCAGCGCTAATTTCCCGCGCGCCGCGGCACGACGGTCTCCTCGGCTCGCGTGCGTGCCCGGCGCACGTGAAACGGGCTTTCGCGTCCGTGACCACGTGCTGGACGCACGTGCATCGTGCCGCAGGTAAAAGCGGCGACCGATTGTTCGTTACTTGCCCTGTTAAACCCGATAATCTTCGAGAACTGTGCCACGCGAGCTCCGGGCCGTGACTAGTCCGAGCTGACGGAAACCGTTGACGGGAATTAATTATATTCCGAACCGCGACGAGACTAGATTGTAGGAGCAAGTACAGATTTAAGCGAAGAGGGGGTTAATAGGGAGGGTTTCACTCGTAGTTTTGATGTTTTCGAATTTGTTTGAAAGATACGAGCCTTTGGAGCTCGCGAGGAATTTTTATATTTGCGATCGATCGACGCGTGGATATAACATATAGTTTTGTTAGGCTAGATTTTAGAATTCAGGTACAAATAATTGACCTTCGTTTGATATAATTGTGAAGATAAAAATTCGTTTGTGAAGGCAGATTTTGTAAATTTAAATTTGTAGAAATTGGTGACTGTATCGAGTTTGATGGTTTGTATTTTTTAAACAATTTAGAAAAAGGTGAAGCGGTGACTTGAACTCTCTCTCTTTTCACATGAACTTATGTTTGTTTTGAGGTAAAAATAATTGAGGTTCATTGGGGTAACAATTTTGGAGATAAAAATTCTTTTGTGAAGACAGATTTTATAGTACAAATTAGTGACTGAATCGACTTTGATGGTTTGTATTTTTTAAACAATTTCGAAAAAGGTGAAACGGTAAACCCTCTCTCTTTTCACGTGAACTGCAACTTACGTTCGTTTCCATGCAGTTCCTCAAATGTTCTCAATGTACGTCATAAAATTTATCAATTGATTCCCATCAGCAATAGGTTACTGCAATAGGTACCACCTTAATGCTCCACCTGTAACGTCGTGATTGGTTGGAGCAACGTTTATCTCGAGAAACGACGATCTTCGATCGACGATTACGTAATCGCTAAGCGGTGTCTCTTGACCTCAGATTAAACGAACGGTAGTCGCCTGGTATGACCCGTGGGTCATTCGTACGATACGAAGCAACACGTGTAAAGCATTTTTACAACGTTCGCACACGCCGCTCTTTTTTTTTTTTTTTGTTATTCTCGCTACAGTTTCACTTTGTATCGTAGAAATCCCCTGTGATGTAGTTGGAATTGTTTAACGGTCTTGCATTAATTAATAAACACTCTTATTGAATTTGATGACACAGTCCAATGTTCAGAAGAGGATTATCTACGTTAGTTATACGGATTGATGGTAATTTTTACAGAATCTTATTAGGTGTATCGAAGGTTGTTTACTCAAATTGAACATTGTAAAATGTACAGTGTAAACGGATCATCAATGACACAATTAATTCTCATTATCACTTTTCATTATTTATTATGTAGGACATCAAAGTGGTTAAATTTCTCTTATATGTTTTCTGAACAATTCACAAATTTCGTCGTATTTTTAATCGTAGAGATTGAGAACGAGAAACGAAACGTCCAATGAAACAGAGGCGTGGTGACATGTCTAATACATTGTCCGATAGAATAATGCAACGAGATACAGCGCAACTTAGAGCAATACTGTGAAATACAGTATAATTCGAAATGTACCAGTAAAACAAGGCATAATACTGCGAAATACAGTACATTACAAAATCATAAAGCATAATACCACTAAAATACAGAATAATACATTGCCCTAATGCATCACGATACATCGTACTACTATCAAACATATCGCAACTTAGTGTAATACTGCTAAATACGGTATAATTCAAGACATACCATAAAAATGAGCCATAATACTGCGAAATACAGTATATCAGAAAATCGTAATGCAAATGCCACTAAAATACAGGACATTCCAGTATCATACAGACTAATACATCGTCCAGTAGCATAATGCATCGCGATTTATCTCGATGCAAACAATCTACCCAAAGCCGAATTATCGAGGACGATCCAAGGATCGACTCAAGCTTCCTTATCATTGAGTCACCGTTTTCGACGGGATCGCGATGCCAGTGGTTGTGTATACAGTCCGAGGCGAGAAATCCTCGTGGTAGGGACCTGGGACCAGTTGTTCTAATCTCTTACGACTGGCAAATCGCGAGTCGAACCGCGTTAGTATTACGCTCGATGTCAGCGTGGCCGCTCGACGTCTCCAAGTCTCCTCTTCCTTGTGCTCTCCCTTGTTTCCCATCATATTCTTCCTCGCGGCCCACTTCTTCAACGATCGCGGATCCATCGATCTCATCCCCGTCTGGAGCTTCGTTGTTTCGTTGTCGAACGGTTCGTGCCACGCGAAGGGACGATTATCGTGGAGCGAACGGAATCGTCTTCGTTTGAAGACTCGTTTTCCTGGTTTTTCGTAGTCGCGACGATTTAAAAGTTACGCTCCGAGCATGAGGACGGGAATCAACGTCCCCGGGCAGTGAATCAGCGGTGTCTGCCGGTGGAAATCGTCGACGAGGATTGGCTTCTTTCTGGGATCCAACAGCAATTAAGGTAAGGAGGCTTTGAATATTTTAGTTGTGGCGTCGATTGGTCCTCGAGTTGGAAGGGATGTTGTAGATTTAGTTTACTCTTTGTGGAGAGATTTCATTTCGAGAGGGTGATTGTTAAGGGTGCGTAGCTCGCAATTGGCTGTGACACCTGTTATGGTACGAAGAAGTGGTCTGGGTTAGGTCTGAGTTAGGTCTGTATTTAGAAAGGTTCGAGTGGAGTGTTTGAAGACACGAATCGAACTTTTTATATTTATATTCTTGTCCGGTGGTGTATTATTTACGTCAGGGCGAAGAAGGTGAATAGGTAAAATAAAAAGTATAATACAATCAATATCTGTTCTTCTCTAAAAATATAAAATAAGAGAAACTATAGGGTTATTATCGCTGGATAGTGAATGCTTGAATTTCCCATATTTACATTTTCGTGCTACACCTAAAACTAAGGGGTGGACAGTAGAGCAGTGCGTAGAGTAACCGACTACCACGCTGAAATCCTGGGTTCGAATCCTTGGGCGTCCGTCTCGGTTTTTCATACTTGAGTTAAAATCAGATAACAAAAAAATATGAAATATGGCAAAAGCCTAGAACGAAAAAATAATGAATAAGATAAAAGTGCAACAACAAATAGAAAGGGGATCGAAAGTAGTCGGTAGCTCCCCAGTCAACACAAACAATACACCTCAACTAAAACTAAAAATTCCTCGAATTAGTATAACGCAATTAATCCCTATTCGCCCATAAAAATATAAAACCACCTGACGACAGAAACTCTGGAACAATTTTCCATAACGAATATCCTCGGAAAATCTGCAGTTTCGAATCCGGAGGTCGCCGACTGGCTAACCTAGACCTCGAACGGGTCCCAAGCGCCGAGGAGAACGTTGATGGAAGTCGGCTCTTAGTCGTGCATCCGTCGAATCAATTACTCCGTCGAATCAATTACTCCGTCGAGTAATTACGGTATCAGGCCCGAGACCGGCGTGCAAATTCCGAAACGTGACGGTGGCGTTATTTCCCAGGTGTACCTCGCACACAATGCACGCTTTATCCGTCAACGCGGTTTCCCATCGTTGAACTTCCGAAGAGATAAACTTCCGAGAGATCTCGATGACTGACACGAAAATTCGCGGAATTCCTTGGGTAGTCTATTTAAACTTTGAACCTCGAATGAGGACAATAGGCGCTGACTCGGTGTGTTTACTACGGAGATGTTTATTCTTCGAGTGTAGATTGCACTCTATCGTTCAACAGAGATTCAGTCTGTCCATGTAATTGAAACTAGTAGAATATCCAGCTAGGTGACAAATTTCTTCTAAATCTATTCGTCGTACCTGACGTCGAACCCTGACCTTACGAATTTCTATTTACACGACTGTTCGCGCAAACCGCGTAACCTTTCTCCAGGCTCTTCTTTTTTTTTTAGCCTCACTTTCCCGATTTTGTTTCGAAAACGAGTACCAACCCCACGAGAGAAATACCTCGACGTCGGAACGAAACGGAATAAATTGCGGTTTGATTGAACGTGAAAGCGGACGGCGTTTGAAAGAATTTTCAAATTGCTCTTGGTTTCACGTTGAATGAAAACTAAATTGGATCAGCGGAGAACGCGGTGCTCCCCGCTCTTAATAGAAACGCCGCGAGGAAGTTAAGGAACACGAACTTTTCCACGAGAGTTTTATCGGGTGCTTCTTTTTCTCCCACCCCTTCCCTCCCCCCCTCCCCCCCGATTTATTTTTTCGTTTCTCGTTTTTAATCGGGGCCTCGTGTGCATTCCGCGGACGAGCTTGTCGGTTTGGGGTCAGAAAAATATCGTTGCCGATTTTTTGCGCCAACGTGGAACGTCCGCGACGTCATCTCTGAGGAAGCTTCGAATGCCGGGGATGACCTATGACTGAGAGCCTCTGATAAACGTCTTAGATCTTCACCTTCTAATACCCTGCCCCTCAAAGAAATTCGTTCTCAGAGTGTGTTTCGAATTACTTTGTATTTTAGTGGTGTTATGCTTTATGATTTTTGAATGTACTGCATTTAGCAGTATTATGGCTCATTTTGCTGGTATGTCTAGAATTATACTGTATTTAGCAGTATTACACTATGTTGCGATATGTATGATAGTATTACTGTGTATCTCGATGCATTAGACAATGTATTATTCAGTATTTTAGTGGTATTACACATTTTGTAACATACCGTATCTTTCAGTATCATGCCTCATTTCGCTGATATATCTCGAATTCTACCCTATTTTGCAGTATTCTACTATGTCGCGTAATGTAGTGTTACGTTGTATCTCTTCGCATTATTCTATCAGACAACGCATTAGACAACTATCACCACGCCCCTGTTTTATTGCACGTTTCGTTTCTCGTTCCCAGGCTCGACGTTCCGTGGCGACTATTTGTTTATACCCGAATGGTACCGTCCGATATAATTGCATCGCCTCGAGACGTATTTTTAACGGGCCGTGGGCGTGCTTATAAATAGTACGCCGTGCCGATAACCCGTCCACTCTTTCTCTTTTCCCGAGCCCGGCCGTCTTGTCCGCGTTCCGATCGCACTCCCGTGACCCTAGCACTACTCGCGTCGTTATTGCTACTACTGCACTCGCTATTGATCTTGTTGCCGCTACTGGGGTTGTTTATTAACCGCGCCCGTCCCCGCCCCGATTGCATACCATCGATGTCAACATTGTCGACACGTTCGCTTCGACACCGTTCCCGTCTCTCCGCGTTGAATCGATCAACTTCGCGTTGTTCGGGGCTGTTCGTACGCGATTTCAGGGACTCGAATCGAGATACGTCGTCGTTTACGGGAAAACGGGCGGGGTTCGCTGTCGGCGCTTTGCTATTTTCGAAATTGTGTAAAAAAAATACAGAGCGAGGGAATTTTTGTACTCGTAACTGATGTGAATATGTATTTTTTTTTTTTTTTTTTTTTTGTTGGTAGAAATGATTCCGCGAACCGGGGGAAAATTAATTAAAGATGGGGAACGCTTCGGGATTGTGACGAAAAAATTGAGGTTCGTTCGCGTAACGAGTTGTTGAGATAAAAATTCTTTTGCGAAGGCATTCGTTTTGTAAATTCGAGTTCGTTCGGATGAATCGCGACTTTTGTATTTCTTGACTCGAATTTTGTACCACGAGACCCACACGTTGCTAAAGGGTCGATCCAGTCGTCGAGGAACTGCCAATAAGGGTTGACCGGTGTTATTAACGCAATTACAATAATCGATCGCCAGGACGTAGGGTTGGGTAGCGTCGATGCAGTCGTCGTTAATAATGCCATTATTAGGGGGCGAACGCGGTGGCTATGATGTAAGGTGACGTGCGGCAATCTGTCAGAGGACTGCGAGACACGGACTCTTGGCGTGAAATCCTGGCTCGCAGGTCCTGCGGGCTGGTTGTTGCGCGCAGGAGGCTTGATATACCGACGATGGGAGCCGGGGACGATTAAACGACGACGAATCCACGGTGAAACGGGAACGCCGGCACGCTGAACAGCTGACGGGATTCGAAGGGCCTGATTTAGGGAGACGGTGAATACCGTAATATTGTTCCCGTTCGAGATTTGCCGGGATAAAGGGACCAGGAATGTTGACACGCTTTGATGAGTCTCTTGATAGGAACCATCCTCGCGAGGGAGGTGATTCGTGGCTTGGCGTGCCTCCTTCTTTCCGGCGTTGATCGATACGAGGCGGAGGAAAGGATTCGATTTTCAAGAAGTCGAAGTTTGAAGTTCGATGTGAATGTACCTTTTCAATTATTCGAGTATGGTTTAGGGTGTGCGTTGGTGTGCATTTCGCGGCAGGGGTGAAGGTTTGGGGGGTCAGAAAAATATCGTTGACGATGTTTATTTTAACGTGAGCGTCGTCAACGTCTCACCGTCGTCATCGTTTCCGAGGAAGCTTCGAATGCCAGAGATGGCCTATGACTGAGAGCCTCGAAAGAGTTCGTGATAAGCGTCTTCGAGCTTCACCTTCTGATACTTCGACCCAAAGAAATTCATTCTCATCGTATATTTTGAATTCTGCATTTGCTGTATTTAGCGGTATTACACTATGTTGCGATATGTTTGATAGTATTACCATATATCTTGATGCATTAGTTTTATTCTGTATTTTAGTGTTGTTATGCTCATTTTGCTGGTATATTTTGAATTGTACTTAATGTCGAATGTCAATGCCTTTTTCTGATTAATCAAGTCTAGTGTAGGCTGTGGGTCAGAGAAGACCCATATCCCAATAATTACTCGCAATTGTCTTCAATACAACTTACAAATCGCTTCCTCCTAAAACACCCAATTTTAAAGACTCTCGCTACTTAAGCCACACTCGTACCAACCAACTACTAACTGCTACCGTACCGCTACTGCAAAATCAATCGAATTCCGTTTTGCCCAACGCTGAAGAATACGACCTGGCTATCTGACGGGGATATTCCTCGAATAACAACGCGCGTGTTTACTCCCGATGCCGCGCGACGAACTCGAGGAGGAAGCGTCGCGACGACGATAAAAACGAAGACTCGTATTAATAGGTCTGCATATTATTTAGATACAAACCGTCGCTCGGTCGCTATCGAGCGTTCCGCGGATACGCGAATCGGAATCGGCCTTAATCGCCGCCACGTTCTGGATCGCGAGTTCGGAATAGTAAGTTCAGACAGGAGTGCACTGACTTCCGTTGAATAAACAGTTACACGGTTCACGTTCGAATTCGATTGCGTCCTGCGTTCGAAGGTTTCGCTGGTCATAGCGTTCTCCAAAATGGCGGGGATACCGTGGGAATCGAAATTGGGACGTTTACTTCCCGACTATGAATAGGTGGCGACATTTATTTTACTAACTATTTATTTTACTAATACTTTACTAAATAATGTCCGAGGATTTCGTACAGTCACACGATTTACACTTTACACTTTTTACACTTTATACTTTGCACTTTACCTATCACCACGTGGAGGTTGCTCCGATTTCCTTGACAAAGGTACCAGGTATCAAATTTCTTTCGGTGCTACGAATTAATTGGCACTAAATGTACCTTGCTTGATTCATTTTTATTAATTTCAACGTTTGGTCCCGCGCTAGCTTAATATCGAGCTCTTCAAGATCGGAAGAAACCGCATTTCGGAAGAAAACGAATCGGTTTCACCGATCGATAATTGGCGCGACGTAGACAAGGATTGTTCCGCTTGGTTGGCTAGTAAACAGTATCGTTATGTCACACGCAAGTGTCCAGCTCGGTAACGACGCTGTGTGTACGGTCACGTGTCGGCCTTTCTCTCCTCACGTGTAAATTATTTTTGCATCGGGCGGCTCGTTCCGCGGAATATCATTCCTTCTCGCGATTAAAAAGATGCCTAACTTCTATTTTATCTTTTCGCGAACGAAATAGGTGGACTCGGCCGATTCGATCGGTCGTCGCTGCGCGCAACGTTCGCAGAGTTTGTTCTCCGCTCGTTTTTCCTACGATCTATCAGCGCTGTACCACTTCGCGGCGCGATAACAGGCGAATTATCATTGTTAACCCGCTATTAACGGTGTCGTTGCATTAGCGTATCGTCTAGCCCCCGCATTTATTTAAACGCCGCGTCACTCGCCGCGCCGTTTAATTGCCGGAATTAATAAACCGTCGTCGAAGCGAAACGGGCCAGCCTCGCCGGCCGCGCGTTACATAATAAATAATTAAAGGTCGTTCGGTACGATTGAAAATCGTTCCAACGGAGCCACCCCCGGCCGGCGAAACTAATCGACGACGATCCCTAATTTATTTTACGCTTCTGTCGCGGCCGCGGTGCCGATTTCTATTAATCATGCCCGGCGGGGAACCGTTAAATAATCGCGCCAGCGACCGTAAAGTGGCGAATTTTAACGCGATCCGATCGTTTTTCGACGCCGAATTAACTCCGAAGCCAGCCGAATTATCGAGGAATCGAATGCGTCGGTTACAACGGGGAAGATTTATCGATCGAGGCTCGTGGACACCTTTCGGGAAGATTTTTTTTTGTTAATAAGAATTTTGAAGAATTTTAGGTCGATCGCTTATTTATCTCGTCCCTTACTTAAATAGTCCCTTATTTTTGTTTTTCTCGTCCCTTTTTGGTCGAAGTCGCGCCCCGAGTTTTGTATACGCGATCCGTGGCTGCTTTGATCAAACTTTCGTCACAATTTTAACCTGCAATTTTGACCTAACGATGTTCTATCTACGATCTCTCCTCTTTTCCTCCCCCAAATCCAAAAATGGAAACATACTTAATTTGGAGCACCGATTCTCCCGCTTCTCACACATTTTACACCGTAATTAGATCGCTCGGTTCCATTTTAACCCGCATTCCTCATCCCGCGACCTCATAGATATTCCATCTACGACGTTCTATCTATGATCCCTGGATATCTAAGACCTTTCATCCCTCGGCTCGAAGAACCGGCCTCGTTGAAGCCGCAACGCGTCATTCATTGAAGATGGCCGACGTACCAAGCATTCAAAAACATTTCCCGTGGAAGTAGCTCGACACACGGCTGGCTCACCGGGGATTTGTCGATCCGCATTTGACCCTGAGCTCGTCACCTTCCGCGGCAGCCATCCGTCGGTACGATTTACGAGGGAATTCTCGCAAGCCTGCCATCTTCTCGTAACGAGGTCCTTTCGGATCTTCGAGGTTCTTTGATCTCGAAAAGATTACCGGGTCGTTGCCGCTACCCGTACAAGAACCGGGGCGAAAAGCGTGCCTTTTAATTTCGGAACGAAATTAAAATCAGTCCCGGACGCGTCGCCGTTTCCTTTGGTCGTTCCTCGCGCGTTTCCGCGTGTAACGATCATAACCCGCAGACGAGAGAAATTCTTATACCCGGGGAAAATGTCGGCCGACGACGACGAGATAAATAACTCTCTACAGCGTCGCTCGTTGAATTAAAATTGGCAGCGGGGGTACACGGAATTAAAGATTTTACGAGTAACGAGCGGAACATCACCGCGGAGACTTCCGGGTCACTTTTGCGTAGCTTTTCGATTCTCTGAGCCGAGACGCGGTGAGGTTGTGAATTAGGGGCGATGGGTTAAATAAAATAAGCGATCTGTATAGGAGTCATGAATTCACGAATTATAGAATTTTTAATTGTCTGGGAACAAAGTTTCTTCAGTGAGAATTTTTATCGCGTGGTTGCTATACAGAAAATAGTTAATTATATGAATATTTTATATTGTATTCTATTTATGCACACCTGCGTAGGTTTCTTTATATTTTCCTTATATTTTTGTTATAAATGAAATTTGGTAATTGTTATACTCCTCTCAACGCTTTCAATTTTTCTATTTCGTACGTTTCCTCGGACGAACTCCGTCGGGAGCACTCGAGACTCCTATCGTTGTTATCGAAGTGCCGCTCCAAGCAAAAGCAGGTAATAAGATAAAGAAATCCCTCGGAGGAATCGACTCCGAAACTTTAATTTCGGTTCATGCGCCCGCGGTTCCGTGTAACTTTCGTGAAATTTAAATTTACCTCGTTAACAACGAGACTTATTCCGGGAAACTGAATTATCGCTCCGGCAAACATCGCTCGAAACGCTTCCATTGCTGTCCTCGTTATTAAAGTGTGCCGTGCAATTTCGCTACAATTAAGAAGCCGGGAAATTAAGCGACGGGACTGTGAATACGTAATCAGCGTTGAACTCGTTAATTTGTCTTAGTTTCTTGGAAATTTCGTATTTTTCCAATCTCTAGACGATTGCTATTTTTGAAGAGTTTCACAGAGACGAGTGGCCCTTTTTCTGCGACTTCATTTGGCTTCTACATTTCTGAAGAGTTTCACAGGGAGTTTGAAAGCTTTCTTTCTGTAATTCAATTTGGATTTGAAATTTCCTTGCTTCGTAGCTTTTCGATTGAAATTTTTAAAAAATTCATAGCGAAGAACTTGATATAAATTTGATTTGAAATATTCCTCTTTAAATATTCCTGTTCTTCCGAATAGAACGATTACAATTGAGGGAAATTGTCAAAGCGAAAATATTCGTTTGACCGTGCGTTTCTGCCTGGGAAAATTCGAATTCTTCGTCTCGTCTTTGATAAACCCCGGAGGTAAATATCGGACAAAGACAGACGGGAAGGGTCCGTGCTTCTTAAGGGCTCCTTTGGCAGCCACGAAGTGGCCTTCGTTTCGCAATGGAGCTCCCTTTTGACCTAACGTTCATGGAGTGCACTCGTAATTCAGCCAGCTTCTCGCTCGTGGCGTCGTCTTATCCTCATCGTCGCGTTACTGGTGAAAATATCCAAAGATCCTTACGGAATTTTCATTTACACCACAGAAAGCCATCTTCATGGCGTTTGATAATCTCCACAAAGAGAAATCGATTGCGGTGAGGATTAAAATAAAGGGAAAATTAAAATGGCAAGACTTTAGGACTTTAACATTTCTATGCCATTTTAATTCAAGAGAATCTATAAATGTGTGTCTTTAAACGTACTTTAAATATTCAATGAGCAAGGTATCGTTTAATCTACCAGGCTGCATATCTTTCACGCTACTTAAATTCAAGAAAATAATTAATCAAAGTGAACGACATTATTCGATCCATTTTCGAACGTGATGCATTTTTGTAACGTTATTGCGAATGATCACCGACGTTGCAGAACTTCCCGCAGACACGAGGGAGCCCTCCGCGGACAATGGGAACAATGAGGAACAATTTCGCCGAGGCCTTTGTGCTCCTGCTGGTCCTGATGCTCCCGACGAGTCAATCTTTCCCGCACGGCAAAGAGAGTTCCTCGAGGAGAAACAGTTTAACCAACACTTTAACGTCGAAGGTTCGGTCGGCGCACTCGTCGATCTCCGGCACGACCTACGAGTGCCTCTTCGTGGACGAGAAGCTGCCCACGTGCGATGTTAAATGGTGAGTTGGCTCCTTTTTAAAATTTCTCGAGGTCCTGGCCACCGTCAGTCGTGGTTCGATTAAAAATTTACTCGGAGAAAATTGAATTCGATTGCCAAATGTTACAGTTATATCGGTTAATTGCAGTATTGTTTCGAGATAAGCAAATCGGTCGGGACTGGCGAGTTGTTTATCTCGAGACGATACTGTATTAACTTAAACAAAGGAAAAATAAGGCATTCTCTTTTTCATGTTTGCTTCCGTTCATGTTTATATTCAATTTTATTTTTGATGTTTGAATCAGGACCCGATTGTTCTATTGACAATCAATTTTAATATATAACTTGACTTCGCTTTTAGTATTCAATAATAATTAATTTTTATTAAAGAACACAGTGTTCGAGGAAACTGTACGAGTGCCTGCAGATAGACGATTCTGTGCAACACTGCTTGCATGTTGCATACGTTCAGGGGTTGCTTATTTCGAGGCGGAAAACAGTCGCGTAATTTGAGACAATATTGCGTTAACTTAAACAAAGGAAAAAGGACGAAAGAATCCGAGACAGTCGACTTATACGTTTCCTCGGATTCATTCGAGAATTCCAAGTCGTGGAATGAAAAAAAAAGAAGAGACGAGCTCGTTGGTTTCTTACGGAATTTCGTTTACAGGATGCTGAATTCGAAGGAGGACACCGCAAATTCGACGAGCGGTCGAGAAAGGAGGGATTTGGACGCGAGGCTTGATAAAGTTACCGAGTCACGACCGAGATCTAATTTCGACCCTTCCAAGGTGACGCGCGTCATAGTTTACACCTTCGAGGGTTGCTTGCCGCCGATAAGACGCGATAGGTACGATCCTCGATTTTCTACTGATTTATTCTCCTCGTTCAACCGTTTTGCACCCGATTCGTTCGTTTCTTCGTTCGCATAGTTTATTCTTTCTCCATCTTTTCTTTCCTTCATCACATAGTAAAAAATCATGTTCATGGCACAAAAATATCGTATCGTAAAACATTTGGTTTGTTTGTAACGAATTGTTGAAATATTACGTCGTTCGTGCATCCATTAATTATTAAGATACGAATTACTAGAATATTGTATTGTATTTTATTTATCTATCAAAATATGAAATTGCTATTTCTAGTTTGTTGGTTTATCTTGAATCGTTCGAACAGGTTATACGTCTTGATGCCACCCTGCGACGGAATTTCCCTGGACAAGATCGTGGGCGTGGAGAGATTTTATCCCTTCGCGATGAAGGGCACGAGGAAACCACCCCCGGTGCTCCCGGAAGTGACTCGTGACCAGTGGTTGCGCATGATGGTACGACTTCGAAATCACGTATCGTCGAAGGCACGCAATGTGAGTAACCGAACTTTCTCTCTCGACGAAACGACGGAAATAACCTTGAAATTTATTTAGACAAATAAAATTTGTTAGTTCCAAATATCGTTAGTATTCCGAAGTATCTCTAAGAAAACTCAGTCAATCCACAAGAAAACTCGCAACGTTTGCGTGATATATACAAATTCGTTTGGTCCGGTGAATCGCGCGTTTTCGTCTCGGAGTCGACTTCCGGAAATAAAATTTGTCCAGATAATCCATAAATTTGAATTCTACGGTACGATAAAAGTTCTGTAATAATAATTAAGACTATATTTCTTAAGATACAAATAATCTACTCCAAACACGATCCACTTCCATCTTCCAAACTCAAAGCTAGAAGACTCATTATTTCTTGAATTAACTCTCTCCTCGTTTCCAGTTCATCGAGGCCTTATCCTCCGGTTCAACTTCAATCTAGAGTCCTTATATGACACTCCAGTCTTCATTCTTGGCTTTCTTCTTAACGAAGAAGCCATGTGTAAACAACATCGTAATTATCGCTGAAGTTTTTCTTCCAGAAGCATCATGGCGTCCCCGTTTCGAAGGAAGCAACCACCACCGAATCTTCCTACGAGCTCGCGAAAGCCACTCAGCCTAATGCCGGACCACAGACAGTTGAGAAAACAGAGCCAACCATGGACATCGATCACGAACGATCCTCGCCGTCTTCCAGCGACGTGGTCGTCGACGATCTGGGAAATAAAGCGGAATCGCCACCGAAGAAGAAGTCCTTGAACCACTTCAGGCGAAAAATTCCCAACAAATACGTTCACCAGCGAGAAACGATCGTCCTGGATGGAGGAAAATCAAGTTTAGGGGACAAAAAGGAGGATCTTGTAGAGATTCCTTCGGCTCCGTTCGCAATCGAAGCGTCGAAGGCGTCCACCGCTACGAATCCCAGCGTTTACAAGAAGATGGCCGTTGACGAACCCTCGGACGACTTCGCGAGCCCTGGCGATTCCGAGCGATTCTCGACGCTGTAATTTATTAACGCTGCATGGAACCATTCCTCGTCCACGACAGGCAAAACCTTGCCCGATATCGTGGCCAAAATTATTATCCGAATCCTTACTCGAATACTCGAAGACTTCAGTGATTATTCGACGAGTTGGACACTCGAGTATTCGAAAGTATTCGTCCCTTGTGCTCGAGGGGTCAAGTATCATATTCGAACAGTGCGTGACTATAAATCAAGTGTTTTCAGTTTTCTCGATCTTTTTAATAGAACACTGGTAGTTTGGCAAAGGAAATCTTAACGCGTTAATTCTTTAGCTGCAAGCAGTCAAAAACGATGTATTTGTATACGTTTATATATACTTGTAGATTAAAGGAAAAGCGATTTAATTTACTTGCTAGTTGTAGGTATAAACTGTGCGGTAGTGGTAGTGGAATTCATCGAAGATGATTCACGACAAATTTTGTACGTTCACAGAAAATGCACGAAGAAATGCTTTGCAAAATAAAATATAACGTGGATGTTTCTGCAAATTCATATTTTCGTAGGTATAGTAAAATAATCGAGGCATAAATGAAACCATGTCTTGTTGATGTTTTGCAGAAATACACATTCGGTATAAATGCATAAATATTCACAGGCCGATAATAATTAATATCCGAAGAAATATTCAAAGACTTTTCAAGTATCGTAATTATCTCAATCTAATCGAGTATAGTCCCAACTCTTGTTTCAGCCATTATAGAAAATTCTTTCGATACCGAGGACTATTCCCAAAGAACACCCTTAAATTACAGAAGCTTCCGGTAGGAGATCGCTCCGATCGATGGATCGTTCCGATAACGTAGATTCGTGTGAAAACGCGCGGAAAGTACGTTCGTTTCGGGTCTCTTTACGCATAACGCCGACGCTTGGAACACATGGCGCTCGGCCACGTGATTAAAAATTCAGCTACGCCGTTGGCCCCGACGCTTTGCTAGACCAGGAGTTTCGCGGTCCAACGGCGAAACTAATATAACTTTTAAATTACTTGCCGGACACGCATAGTTGGAATTCCGAAATGGCAACGAAGTGCGTTTACATACGCTCGCGTGTAAAACTCGCGTGCCGACGCACGCTTGGAAATTACGCCATCCGTGTGCGGCGCCGTGAGGAACTCGATACATCCCAGATTTCCAGGGGTGCAGCGTCTGGGATGGTTCACTCGGATGATTTTCGTATTTTAACGGACCCGTTGGGTACGGTCTGGGTTGTATTTGTATTTGGAAGTTTGAGGTACGAGGTAAAATTTTATTAATTTCGGGGTGGCTGCGTAGGACGATATTTTTGGTGGTGAAGGGTGGCAGGGCGATGCTAGATTTTCAGGGGTGTAGTGCCATGGTTCATTTGGTTGGTTTTCGTATTTTAAGGGACGCGTTGGATACATGATATTTTTTGTGGTGAAAGGTGGCAGGGTGTCGTTTTTTCTCAGTTCACATTAACAGTATTAACACAGTGAAAGTACAGGGTGTCCGAAAATATAAGATTCGTAGTGTAAGAATCGTCTAGCAGAAACGATTTTCAGCAGTACAGTGGTTTTTCGTTCACAGTCGTTAATGAGGGTGAAGGTACAATGTTGTTTATTTTTATTCAGTAATTTAATGCGTGATGCATTCTCGTCTGTAAAAATTCTTCGACTACAACAGTAGTACACGAATCGAAGAATTTGTCAAGCTCGCCGCGTCCTCGATCCTGTTTGAAATTTGGAATGAAATTTCTCACCGAAGACAAGCTGACAGATTGAAAAGTGGTAGGGTTAAAGCCGATGGCGTGCTCGTGTCGACGTTTACTTTGTTCTTTTTCTCTCTCTTTCCTCCCAATCCCGAACCACGGAAAACCCGACTCGATTCCTTATTCCCTACTCCGATAAATCAGTGTTTCTCAAGTTGCATCTTCCCTCCCTTAAAAAAAAAAAGAAAAAAAAATGAAATAAAACTGATAGAAAAGTTTTCACCCCCACAGAGAGGAATTAAATTATTATTTCTTCGTAGAATTTAATAATATTTTGCTGCCTTCATCTAGTTAAAATTGTACAGAAACAAATTTGCCCTTACACAACAGGTATGCTGAGTGAATAAATTACAGGAAAGTATACTGAGATACCTATTCACCTTCGGTCTACCTCGAAACCAATCCCCCATTTTAGATCAACAACCAAGAATTCGAACAACTCGGTGTTTTCGACCCTTTCTATTTCCAGATTTTGCTCGTTCTAACAGGATTCGAGGTCGCCGTCATAATCTCGATTTCACCATAGAATATATTCATAAAACGTCCATCGTCATTGACGTGGTTTGACCCACGCCAGTCGAGACTTGTTGTACTTCCTTCTCACTGCACCGACGCGAGTACTGTTGCCACCCGATGGCTTCAGTTTCAATCTAGGACTGGCGCCTTTCCTGCGATGGAACATGTGTCCAGGTCTGTAGTTCCTGTGACCTATGACTCGTGTCCTAGTGGGAGTCTTCGTCGACGTTCTGTTCGATCTCTGACCGTACTTGTGGAGTGGATTCTGCGAGGGAGGAGTGGTTGTCAACGTTTCCGTCTTGGTCGCGTTTTCGTGAGATTCTTGGGAGAGCTTTTGGTCCTTTTCCTGGCTGAAAGAGGAGTTACTATTTTTGGAACCCTCCGAGTTCCTCGAAGGCTCTGTTGAAGGTTCCTGGGGGACAGTGGATTCTTCTTCAGGTATCTTCTGAATAGAGGAGCTGTTTAGGATCGTTGATGCATTCTTCATTTCTTCCAGTGGTGCTTTGATAGGTTCTTCTCCAACTGTTCTGTTTAGATTGTTAGTTATGGTGTTGGTTTCTTCAGGGTCAGGTAGCTTCAGCTGTGTGTTCGGCAGCTCAGGTCTTGTCAGTCCATCGTATGAGGTGTTGTTTTGAGAAACCTTCATCAACGTTGATGTTTTCTTTCTTTCTTCCACTGGGACTTTGCTTCCTTTAGCTACGAACGAGTTCTTACTTTCGGGTTCCTCTAAGTTTCCTTCAGGTTCTGTCAAAGATATTTCTTGAACAGGATCAGGCGTCTGCGTGACGTTCGAGGTAATGTCACGAGATGGGATTTCCATCATCGTTAATGTCTTCTTCATTTCTTCCAGTGGGATTGTCAAAGACTCTTCTTTAACTGTATCGCTGTGATCATCAGTTAAATTTGAGCTACTACTCTCGAAATTCTTCAGCTTTGCAATAGATTTCTTCAAGGATTCCTGATGGGTACCTTTCAGGTCCTTGGAGAGGTTAGACGATTCAGAAACGTTCGATACTTGATCCTTAGGTAGTTCTACAAGTGAATTACCGCGATTCCTATCCACGATTGGTCTCTTCAAGTCTTCCAACTTTGTCATAGGTTTCATCAGAGATTTTTCCCGGTGGTTGTTTTCCAGTCCCTCAAAGAGGCTCACCAAAGCAGGAAAATTCGGTTCGGTCAGCTCAGGTACCTCTACATAGTCTTCGTCAACCTCTTCTTCAACTGTACCGAATCGAGTGTCACCCATATCTGAAGTATCATTCTCAGGAAACTCCTTTCCCATAGGTCTCCTCAAGGATTCCTTACGATCACCGTCCTCCAGCCCCTCGAAAAGGCCCGACAGCGCAGGAACATCCGGTCCTTCGTACCGCGGCACACGTATCGGGACCCTGCTGGACTCATCTTCGTCTCTTATACTCCAACCGTCAGCAATACCTGAGTTATTGCTCTCAGAACCACTTGGCACCCGCGACGATCCTGTCGTGTTGCCTTCAGTCTTCTTCGACAGGTCTGTCGCGAGTTCGGAATCCTCAGACTGACTTGGATTCTGCAAAAGTAATAAGAGAAAATAAATGCCTTTGCGCAAAAAACATTGAACTATAAGTCTAGTAATTCTTTTTGCGTCTTTACGTTCGTACATTTAAAACTCTGGTTTAAAACTTAGAAATCTGATTTTTGTTATGATTGTATCTACTTTAGATATCATATACATTAACACGTATTTTCATGGAGACAGTATATATATTAACTGTATGCAATATTGCCCCACCTCGTCGCCAAAATAAATACACCAAACCCTCTCAGACAGTATTTCCATGTGGATAGTATATACATTAACTGTATGCAATTTTGTCCTCGTCGCCAAAATAAATACACCAAACCCTCTCAGACAGTATTTTCATGGATAGAGTATATACATCAGTAATCAATATTATCACTCCCAGCTTCCACGAGAAAAAGTGTCCCAAACGTGCTCAGACAGTATTTCCACATAAATAGTATAAACATTAACTGTACGCAATACTGGCCCTCCTCGTCAAAACAAATACACCAAACCCTCTCAGACAGTATTTCCTTTACCACCGAAAATTTCATACTCAGTGTAAACATTCACCAGTAGTAAACATTTCAAATCACGCGTGAGTGTAATTATTTAAAAGTCACGTAAAATCAAGTACTCACCTTGATCGTATAGTAAACACTCCTGACTCCAGGCCTGTCAGCGTCTTCGGCATCTCCACTCTGAAGCTTCACAGCCGATCGAGCAGAATTGAAATCGATGATCACAAACTTCTGCGGACTTGTCCCAACGAAGAAACCTTGTACCGCGTCTCTGCGCGGATAAGAATCGTAAACGTGTCTCTGTCTGCGTTCGTCCGATTCAATTTCGGCAGAGATGGTTAGAGTAGGCTTGGGATCCACGTACGGTTTCGCGGGTTGAATATAGTCTTGGTAGTCCTCGCAGAATGGCACGCCAATGTCTGGTAGACAGTTCCGGGCCACCAGAGTGGCGGTCATCGGCGACTCCAGGACCTTGGTGACGTAAATCTTATGCAGCTTTGAAGAGGAACTTCCTGAAGAGAAACGTCTGGCTATTCTGATACTCTTCCCTTGGTCCCGAGTTAATTCTGGCGTTTTCAGGTGGAACTGTGAAGAATTCCCTTCTGAGAATCCCTCTAGGACTTCAGGGGACCCAGGGTTACTCGCTGCTTCGACTTCTGGGGATGTTAATTTAATCCTAAATTCTTCATCTGCCGATTCTGATGTCTCCAGGTGGAACTGTGAAGAATTCCTTTCTGAGAATCCCTCTGGGACTTCAGGGGACCCAGGGTTACTCGTTGCTTCGACTTCTGGGGGTGTCAATTTAATCCTATCTTCTTCATCTAATCCTAACTTCTTCTTCTTCTCCAAGTGGAACTCTGACATATTCCCGTCTGAGAATCCTTCTGAGAATCCTTTTGAGTCTCCATTAGAGTTACTCGCAGGCACTGGTGCATCGATTCCTGGGACAATCAGTTCAATGGTGCTTTCTTCATCCATGGCTGGAATGCTTGGTTCCAGATCAACCCTCGAGCGTTCCGCCGTCCTTTCGTCCAGAGTTTTGCCGTTGAATCGCTCGTACTCCATCTGGAATTTCCTCAGGGTGTGAGAACAGGGCAGGACTCCTTCGTCAGGTACCACGCAGATGGGTTGACGCCACCTGACGATCTCTATCACTTGAGCATCGTCTGGTGTCGTTGGCGATTGGTTCCAGAAGAGTCGACTCAGTTCCAACGCGAACGAAGAATAAACCAGTCCAAGAAGCATCGTTATTATCGTTGTTGGCTTCATGGTTGTGTCCCTCGACGACCTTGGACCTCGATACTTGATATTTAACGAAGAATTCCGCACTCGATCGCCTCGAAAGTTAGATTAGGTCTAGATTCTCAACGCTAGCATTGCCGATACTTGAACACCATTGAACACGTGTCACCCTGAAGGTGGTTGCTGGAAGACTAAAGCTCTCTTCAGCGACGCAGGGGCTTTTATAGACGGAAATAGAAGATATGCCCGCATGTTGGAACCGTCTTTCGATGTTTGACCATCGAGGAGACTTTTGGGGTCCGTCGGCGATCTGTCGGGCGATTAGGCGGGTCGATGAACATTCCTGAGCCGAAACCGATTTTAGTGCACTTAAGTGCGGCCGCTAACGTCGCGTTAATTACCATCGAGGGAGCCAGCGTTTGTGCGTCGGACGTCTCTGTACTGGACAAGTTAATTGCGCGACCGAAATGCGGGTAAGGTGAAAGTTCGAGCATTTTCGAAATATTTCTGTCGCGATAATCGCCGTTGCGTCTCGGCACCGTCGTTTCATTCCTTTTCATTTCCGAGACATTTCGGTTAATTTTTGTTCGTGTTTCGTTTTTCGTGCTTTTATTCTTGCTTCGGGATTCATATTTTTATACAATTTTATTTACGATGTTTCACTCGGTGATTGATTTTGTTCTTCATTTATTTATGTTCGCTTTATTTATGTTTGTTTTTGTTTCCTTTTTCTTTTTCATGCTTTGGTTCTATTCCTGCTTCGGGGTCCATATTTGTATACGATTTTATTTGCGATGTATCACTCGGTGATTGATTTTGTTCTTTATTTGTTTATGTTCATTTTATTTATGTTTGTTTTTGTTTACATTCTCTTTTTCATATTAGTATTCCATTCATGCTTCTGTGTCTATATTTATATTCACTTTTATTTTTGATGTTTGTATTAGGACTGTTCTATCGACAATGAATTTGAATATATAACTTGACTTCGCTTTTAGTGTTCAATAATAATTAATTTTTATTAAAGAACACAGTGTTTCAGGAAAGTGTACGAGTGCCTGCAGATAGACGATTCTGTGCAACACTGCCTGCATGTTGCATACGTTCAGGAGAGAAGAAGCTTCGTACTAGAAACATTAGTGCACCTAGGAATGACGCATCATTTTCGAATTTACAATGCTTTTTAATCAACGTTCGTGCCGAATCGACGCTACAGGTAGATAAACCAGAAAATACTCTTAGCCGTCCAACGTTTATTTCACGTTTCATCAACTCTATCGTTGTCACGTACGATCGTGGATTCTCTGCATGACGTCATTTTGCCACGATACGTCGCAAACACGTAATACTCGATAGCGAGTGCATCAAATTTTTACTCCAAAGCCCCTCAAGACAAAATAAAAATTTCAGATAAATTTATGAAAGCAACAAATCCCCATGTTTCATCCACACTCCTCTCCAAAGCATATTGCACTATCCATTAAAAAGGGACACTTTAGATTTCATCACAAGAAAGTCACACAATTCATCCTTCAACCAAAATGGTCTAGACAAAATATAAAAATTCATGATAAATTCATGAAAACAGCAACAAATGCCCATGTTTTATTTCTCTTCTCCCTCCAAAAAATATTGAACTATCCGTACAAAAGGGTCACCTCATAATCCACCACAAAAAAAGCCACGAAATTCATCCTACATTCAAAGTGCTCTCAACACAAAACACCAATTCCAGAAGAATCCATAAAAGAAACAAGAAATTCCCCATATTTCATCCTACAAAAAAAAAAAAAAAAAAAAAAGAAATACAGACCCATCCACGACACAAGGAAACCTGCCTCCAAAAAATATCGAACTATCCATAAAAAAAGGGACACATTGGAATTCCTTACAAGGAGGCCATAGAGTTAAACCCTCGTCCGAAAAAATTCCCCAACTCGGGTCCTAATCCCTCGAAGTGGATACCGGTCCCATGGCCATGGGACCCACGCGGTCAGGATCCAGGATTCCTGCCGGCCCGCTCGTTCCAACCACAGGTGCGCGGGGTGGGGGAGGGCGCCAGGGCCCCTTCCTGGTCCAGGTGAACGGCGGAAGAGGGGGAGGGGTCAAGAAGTTGGAGAAGGAGGGAGATCAGTCTTCGACGATGGCTGGTCGCGACGCGTCGCGAGGAGGCTGCGGTTAGAAAGCCTTAAGGCGGGCCCACAGCGTCGCGAGCGTGCACGCACCGGTCGCGTATCACCTGACCGTCCGCGGGACGGCACAACCTGTCCAGTATGCACGGTGTCCGCGTACTAACAGTGTCGTACGTCTGACCGACTGGTACCAGCGCGGTACCAGTTGTCCCGCAGCTGCACGCGTTCGCGCGTGTTCGTTATCGTTGCCCGTGCTGGCCCGGCGATTCCGTTCCCGTTCGCGTTGTCCGCGAATCGACGCAGGCGCCGTTCTAGGGATTCCTTGGATTCCTCGAGGATACGCGTACCCGGGGACCCTGGGACCTCTGGATTCCTGAATTGGTACGTGTGTCGTGATTTCGAGCGTTTTTGGTGATCGTGGTTTGGAGAGGTTCAGTGAAGTCGTTTGGACAATTGTTTGCGGACCCTTGGTACTGGGCTAATTAGATACGAAGTTATTTGGGGTTAATAGGGTACCTGAGGACCGAGGATTCCATAATTTTGGGGCCAAGTGTTCGCGTGTTATTTTTGAGAGTTACTGTTACTCGTGCTTGATTAGACTCAGTGATTCATTTGGGTTAGGTTTGGGTTAGGTCTGGGCCATTCTTTAACGATCCAGGCATCAGGGTACTTAGATATCAGGGTATGTAGATGTCTGGGTGCCTTGTGACCGTGGATTCTTAAAATTTGGGGGCTGAGATAGTGCCTATATCAATTTCAAAATTTATTTATTGCCTCTGCTAGATCAAATCCAGTGATTCCCTTCATTTAGAGTACTCCTCGAGTACCTAGGTGTCAATCTACCTAGGTATCAATGTTCTCAGGTACCTGAGTGTCCCGTGACCGTGGTATTTAGGTATCTGAGTACCTTGGTACTCTGGTATCGCGAATTCCTGAAGATCGAGGGCCAATAGGTGGGTCGGGAAGTTGACCCTGGAATCACGGTGCAGTTTCTGGTCTGGCGGATTCCGTCAGGCACGAATGACTCTCGGTGTCGGGTTCTGGTGACACCTTGGATTCTCGGGAGCAGCTCCGTAGGTGTGGTTTGCGTCGAACGGTTCCGAGGTTAGGTCATTTCTCACAGAATCGTGGACTGAGTTTAAATCGACAAATGAAGAAACGATACTTCGATGTCAGTTTTTGGTGGTCGAAGTGAGAAGTATCGATTAGGTACTGTCCTCGAGATTCCCAAAGGGAAGGTCAGGGTTTTTCCCCGAAGAGACTCTACGATCTTGTTTCATTTCCTCTTGAGAATTTTTAAATAAATGTTTATTTGTTAATCGATTTCAACATACAAATATTTCTAAAAAGTATCGTGATTGTTAGCGACGGTCACAAGTAATGGAAATTACCTTCGATTTTATTATAAAGCCTGATAAACCAGATATCGAAATAGAAGTACCGATGATTATGGAAAGAGACGAATAGCGTTGGAGGAAGCGAAACAGAGAGAGGAGAAGATAGCGCGAGAGTATTAACAGATAAACCAACGAGGTAACGGTACGGCGCCGTACCTCGATCACTTACAAATTCTTATAATGGGATTTGAATTGATTAGATTAGTTTCGAACGAGCAATAACGAGCAAGCGGTGTGCCTGGGTGAGAGCCACGAGCAATAATTACGGTTGCTCGGGGACGATCAAAAATATTTTAACGACCACTTTTTCGTTGCATTAGCATTAATTACATCTCCGTCGTATAGCGGGGAAACTATTTCCACTCGGACAGATAGGCACGGTACTTTTGATAGCGGAGGCGATTTCTTCCTCGCATCTATGGAATTACGTAATTCTTTCTCGAAATACGCGCCAGCCACGTGCTTCCGTGTCCGGTGTCGTTACACACGTTATTTTATAGTCGATCCCTCGCAGTTCTTCTTTCTTATCCAATATCTCACCTCTCGTTTCGTTTATTAAACTATTTACGTGCATTGTTATTCTTATACTGGCTTACAAAATAAAAAAAAGAAATGTGCATTCAATGCCACAATTTTTTTCTCACGTATTTTGACCTGCTAAACTCGAAAATCCCAATGAAAAATTTTTCTATATTTTTCTATATATATATATATAAATTGTGAAAAAAAATTGTGGCATTGAATGCACATTTTTTTTTTTTATTTTGTAAGCCAGTATAAGAATAACGGTGAATATAGAATATAGAATACAGATGAACTACTAGTCCTTCATTTGCATGCATACATTTTTCCTTCTTTACCAACTGCGATTAAATTCGAAGAAAAAAGAAATAACTGCATCTACTTGAACGAACGAGCCAAGCTTCTCTCGCGGATCTCGCATCGTAAGTTCGCGGTTGAACGCGCTTCGAGCGATCGGAGATATTGCGTAAGAGCACTCATTGTCGAGCACCGAAAATCTTCTCAGCCTCGAGGCTCGATCGGTCTCTCCCGCAGGTGCAACTTTCGATGCACGATTTAGAGGAGTTAGAAAGTGCGACGAGACCCGTTGTTTCACCGTTCTCTCCTTCCTTCCCTCGTTCAGGCTAGTCAAGTGTGAGGGACGTCGCGAAATACGGCGTTTCGCGATTAATTTCCATTTCGTTGCTATTTATTATGATCAGCGATTATATGTTAATTTTTATTGTTTGGAACGAATTATTGTGTCTCATTATTATTCCCATTTTTGAGATTTGAGAATTGTACAGGTTGATGTTTTCATAAAATATTTATTGTTCGAGCAAGGGGTGTTTCAGAATATCTTCCTCCCTTGTTAGTAGACCAAGGATGTTTATGTAATCACTGTGAATGAAGATATTAGAGAATCGGTGAAAATGAAAACATGTATAGGTAAATTAAACGAATAAATGAATTTTTGAAGAACGCGTGACCGAGACGCGTTCTTCTCGAATAAATTTTCCCGTGATCGGACGAAATTCAATAAAGAGCACCGAATCGCGGATAAATAACACGTTTCAGAGCGTTAACCACGTTAGATAAGAGATCCAGATAAGATAGTTCTGGATAATTTGCATCGTCGTACGTCGGTTAGCTAAACTAACACCGAGCGTTTTGCGCAATCACGAACTCTCTATTTACTGCCTGGTAACGTTACTTCACGTGGTCCCGACAACAAAACCCGGCTTGGAAAAAACTGGTACGACGAATGTTACACAACACGTGTACACGAACATTGTCACGAGTGGTCATCGGCGTCGATCATTAAAATTTTACCAACTTTATTTGTTTTATTACTAGAGTATAACAGAAACTAATAAGAGAGTACAATAATTCCACGACGAAATGCAATTTTCAACAATATATATATATTATTACTTCGTTAATATCCATCCTGAGTCATTCAGAAAATTGCAACGTTCCCAAGAATATATAAAATAACAATAATCTTGCCCCATTCGAAATATCAGATGATACTCTCAATTAAGCTTAAGCTCTCATTCTATACATACCAAAACATGAATTTGCATAAACATCTGCAGTCCATTAATAATCGAATAACCTCCTGCAACGTGTTCTCAAAAGATAGTGATCTCGAACGCGCTCGTGCCCGAGCAAACGCGCCCAAGCAAACGTGCGAGCCGTACGCGAGAGGATCCGAGATGTATCGTCGCGAATGATACACACGCGTCGTTTCGATCGCGATAGCTCAAAGGGAGTAGGGAAACGGTAATTAACGCGGCCCGTTGACAACGATTCCCGTTATTGAAATTACAAGAGCGTGCGCACTTAGCACGGTGTTCCGCGTCGAATATTAACAGACCTAACCGTCGCGATCCGTCGGCGCTGATAAACGCCGAAGACGAGGAAGACGTCGAAGACAAGTAACAGGCACGGCGCAGCGAGTCATGCGCCGCGCATAATCGCGCCTGTGTTCGCCGATTTCGGAGTACGCGATGACGTGACCGCGCGACGCCGTGGGCGCGCGTCGCACGTGTGCGTTCCCATTGCGAGCACAACCGGGCCCACATGCCTGGCCATTCATGGCGAGGACGTCGTGACGTTGCGACGCGGGCCAGTGGCCATTGGGTTGGCTCCGGCGAGGTGTACAGGTGGCCTTTAAATTTCCACGCCTGGGTTGGGTGTCATTCATGGGTCTCCGAGGAGAGAATCGCATGGGATCGGTGGGGAGAGCAGTTTTGGGGATGTTTGACAGTGACGGGCTTGGAGGGTGT